TTTTGGGTCGTCTTTACTGTCTCGTAATTTAATAATAATAAAAGTTACAAAAGTCTGAATCTTCAAGAACTGTATTTGAAAAGTTCTTTCTCTAGTTATTTGCAATGATTTATTTTAGTTTGGGGCCTTTTTTCCACTTCAAACTAAACTAATCATAATTAATTGCTCTTATTGAAGAGCTATGCATAAGAACAAAATGCATTGAATTTCGAATAGGTAATCGGACAAAGGAAATGAATTTTCGCAACATACAAAGATTTTCTATCCCCTACATTTTTGCAACCCAATGTCATCGATCTTGGATAATTTAAACTATAAATTCTGTTAAATCAAATAATCTATGCTTGAAATAACAATGTTTAACACTATCAGTTTGCAAAGATATAGGAATTATACAATTTGAGTTTGTGGCAAAGACTCAAACCGTGCGTAAAATTAGAGCAATGTCTTACAAATTGTACCTTCCCCTTCTCTTTAGTTCAGTGCATGTGCTTACATCAATCTTCAGATTACATCCAAAAATCCGAAATTTGAAAATTTTGACAATTTAGATTAAATTCTTTGTATCAAAAGTCCAGTAACACGAATAGGGAAATCATTATAATAATAATATTAAAAAATTCATTCTTAAACTATTTAAAATTTTACCAGGCTTATTTGTATTTGATGTGAGATATCCGGCCCATGACAAGGAGAAATTTCAAAGTTGACAGTTGAATCTTGACATAAGTCATGTTTCACGTTTGTTCGAGGGAGGGGTGGCTGCTCTGACGGTTTTGAAGTGCTTCTAGGATTTTGGTTTGCTCCCATGGTGATCATATAGTTTTAATTAGCCAAACTGATCACATTTGTTTCAGCTGATACATTAAACATTATTGGTAAATTTTAATAAAAAATCTTTTTTCAACTAGATATATAAAGGGTTCATTTAAGCTGGTCTAATACATCTAAATATCCTTTTAAGTTATCTCATTTCCAAGTATTTCTTCAAAAAAAGAACCAAATTTTTGCCTAAAATTTTTGTAATTAAAAAATGCGTTTTTACCCAACAGTCACGAAATAAGAATTTAGAGCCCTCTATTTGGCCCGCACTATACCAAAAATTATCAAATTATTGAGATATCTGTTTTTTTTCTTAAAATCTGTTTTTTTTTCTGAAAAAAAACTTGGAAATAAGATAACTTATAAAGATATTTTACATTTTACTCCAAAATCCTGGGAGAACTCCAAAACCCAGGAAGCAATTCCAAAACCCTGAGAGCAGCCACCCCTCCCCCTTTGTTCTTTACTAACAACTTTTTACGACACATACATGATAGTAAGAAAACTTTAATTTTGTAAATATGTTTAGATAGCAATATCATCTATCTCTCTCTATATATAAATTATGTAAATTATAAACCTATTATTTGAGAACTTGTTAGAACCACAGAAATGTTCTTAGTTTGGTTTTAAAATAGACTTTAATAGGGAAAGCTAAGATTTTCAGGCAAAGCTGGGTTTACATGCTTTTTTAATCATTCATTTTTTGGTTGAGTAAAATAAGGGGCAGGGTTGGGCTGTGTAACGAACATTTTTTTGTTAGCTTTTAATATTTGATATAAGTTGACGGTATTAAACTGTATATATCTAAATCTGCAAACTGTTTAATAAAAGAGAAGAACTAGATATAACACGGGTATCTTTAGATCTAATTCTTTTATCATTGTTTATCTCTCTTCAATCCTTTGCCGATAAACCTGTGGATTTATGTAATAATAATAATATTTGGTCCAGGAGGGGGAGGGGGGGATTATTAGAATATAACTATAACTGTGGATGAGGGTGGGGGGAGGAATGCGCCCTATATAGTTTAGTAAAACATGTTTATGAAAATTAATTTCTTCAAAATTTGTCACTTTTTGTAGAAACACTTGCTCAGTAATATTAAAAATATTATAGAAATATATTTGAAAGGTTCCCTTAACACTGAGCTGGCGTATTAATAGTCGGGGTTTGGTGTAAAGATTACACCTAAGAGTAGACACTGGGCGCCAGCTTAAACTAGAAGTTCAACAACAAAAATATATTCAAGTATTTACTTTAGTTATTTTCATATTTTAAAAGGTTGTTTTGATAAAATGACAATTTTATTCATTTTATCAATTTAAAAAGAAAAATCCATATCATTTTCGTTTTATTTGAACAAAATTGATGGATGATGAAAACCATGACATACCAAAAAAGGGCATAAAAGCATTGATTTTTGATTGGTTTACAACTCAGAAGTTCAAAAATTTAATTATCCAATTTAGGTTTAAGCTTTCAGTTTAGTCTCCGAGATTAAGTGTAAAGAAAGGCTCAATGTTAAGCTTTTTACCTACAAATTTAACCTTCAGATGAAGGTTTTGGTTCTAGTTCAAGGTTTGAACCTCTAGGTTAAGGTTCTGGATCTACTCTAGGAATAATCTCTATGTTTAGGTTCAGGTTTAAACTCTAGCTTTAGTCTCTATATGTTAAGGTCAAGATTTGAAATCTAGGTTAAGGATCTACAAACCTCCAGGTTGAAACTCTAGGTTAAGGTTTTGAATCTACATACATCTATGTTAAAACTCTAGGAATAATCTCTATGTATAGTTCAAATTTAACTCTAGGGTTAGTCTCTGTTTATAGGAGCAGGTTTGAGCTCTAGGTTTAGGCTCTATATTTAGATACAGGTTTGAAACTCTAGGTTTAGTCCTTATATATAGATCCAGGTGGGAAACTCTAGGTTTAGTCCTTATATAGGTCCAGGTGGGAAACTCTAGGTTTAGTCCTTATATATATAGGTCCAGGTGGGAAACTCTAGGTTTAGTTTCTATATATATAGATCCAGGTGGGAAACTCTAGGTTTGTCCTTATATATATAGATACAGGTGGGAAACTCTAGGTTTAGTTTCTATTTATATAGATCCAGGTGTATACACTTAAAACGTATGTCGGTAAGTTTAATAATGATGAAAACTAATTTCTAACAGTTAATTTCATTTACACAATCAAAAACTTATTTACAAGAAAGGGGGGGGGGGAGTGTATTCTAGCCGGAGTGTTGTATTTTTGTCAACCAATAGACAAGATGAGAACTGATGGACATGACATTTACACACGCTGATCCGACTAAAGTGCAGAAAGGACAGCACTAGCAAGTAAGGAAAAATTCTCTCTCATGTTCTCCATATGAGAGAGAATTTTTAACGGAGCCAGTAAACCCAGATAACACAAAAAAGGAAAGGATAAAGAATGGACAGAGGAAAACAAAATCAATTCTTAAAAGGAAAAAAATCCTTATTTTTAATGCATTTTTCTTTTTATGACTCTAGGTTTAGTTTCTATATATATAGATCCAGGTGGGAAACTCTAGGTTTAGTTTCTATGTATAGATCCACATGGGAAACTCTAGGTTTAGTTTCTGTATATATAGATCCAGGTGGGAAACTCTAGGTTTAGTTTCTTTATATATAGATCCAGATGAGAAACTCTAGGTTTAGTTTCTATATAAATAGATCCAGGTGGGAAACTCTAGGTTTAGTTTCTATGTATAGGTCCAGGTGGGAAACTCTAGGTTAAGTTTATATATATACTAGCCTTAGAGGGCGCTCCGCGCCCATCTTCTAAATTTATTTTGAACATGTTCTCTTTGTGTACATCGTAAAACAAAACAAAAATAATTCGCGGATTTTCACAAAAAAATTCGTGGATTTTCAAAATTTTAAAAAACTTAATGAAGATCGAATTTTGATGGAGACAAATATTTAAAATTTCAATCATTCATAAACCTTCCCTGGGGTCCCTAGATGTCCCACAAAAAATTTGGGCCCGATCGGTTCAGCCGTTTTGACGTTTATTGGATACAAACAGACAGACAAACAAACAAACAGACAGACAAGCCAAATTTATATATAAATAGATCCAGGTGGGAAACTCTAGTTCTAGTCTCTATATGTGTAAAGGCCCAATTAGAAACTCAAGTTTTAGTCTTTATACATATATAGAATAGATCCAGGTTTAGTCGTTCTGTGTAGGTAGTTTTATGAAATATCGTAGGTTAGATATCCCATGAAACTGATTTGTAGTTTGACACTGGACAGTGATCTGTGCTCCTCCTCTCTAATTATTAACTCAAATATAGGAGGAGCACCCGTCCACGTATATTGCTTTACTAGAGGGGATGAGGAGAGGGGGGGGGGATACGCAGATGCGAAAAGGGGTGGGAGTGGACGGCTCAAGGAGGAGGAGAAGTGGGATAAAAAGGGCGGGTTGATAAATATTTGTTTGTTTATGATCGGTACTTTATATCCCTCGGTCCCCCGGGAGTCACTGAGAGTGTTGAATTCGTAGGCTATAGTGTCTTCATCACCCCACCTCTAACACCCCCCCCCCCCGTCCACACCCTTTTCATTTTCATCTTCCAGCGCATGCCAAGACCACCCAAACTGCCATTGTTTATTGTTTAATTTTCAAATTAAAAATAAAAATATTTTTATAATTGATTTTTCTTGAATGCAGCTCTGGGCTATGGAAACAAATGTAATAGACACATAAGTAAACGTTTATATTATCATTATTACAATATCTAAATATATGCAAGGCTATAATATTAGCAAGGAAAGTTATTTCAGAGAGGTGTACGCATCTTTTGTACTGCAATGTACTGTCTCTGGGCGGTAATGTAAACACAAGACGGATGTCACAGTCAGACATGGGATCTATCTTTCACATAAAAAAAATCAATGAAATATTCTGGTCTATAGGAAACTATTGTTTGAATTATCAAAATTTTCAAATTTCAATGCTTTTATCCTCCTCGGATACTAAACGAACACTACATGATGCATCTATTCTTGTTTACAAACTCCACCCAGAGAGAACTGGTTCCAATATGTACGCAGAATATACAAAACTGCAATTAACTTTCCTTGCATTACAACTTTGAATATATGTACTTAGATGTACTTACCCTGTACAATGAACAATGTAAAGTGTACAGTGTTAATAATCTCTTTATGTACAAATTAGTGACACAGTTATACAATTAAGACATTGTACGATTCCTTCTCAGAAAATTGAAAAAAAATAACTATAATTTTAGAACATGACACTGGACACATCAAAATCTTGGAGAAGGTCGTGTACTGGGCAGCGCCCTAATCTCTTATTTTTAATAATTATTCTACAAGAGTGATACTGTTTTCTCTTGTTTTGAATCCATTTTGTTCTACACTATCTTGTTGTTGTTGTTCTCTCCAACCTTCAGCCTCATCATCAACCTGATCAATAACAAGCATAAAGTACTAGGTTTTCTTTTCACAATTTCATCTGTCAACTCTGGAAGTCGTAATTTTTATTCAGATTTAAATTTTCGCGTTTTTTTTTTAAATTGGTGCATTTTCAAAGATAATAAAGAACATTTTTCAACCCCGACCATCCATAAACCTTCCCTGGATTCCGCCGCTTTTACGTTTATATTTCAATATTTCAAGGCCAGCTCATTGAAATTAATAATCAGACCAGTACTTTTACTAGTTTTGGTCCTGGGGATTCTTGAAAAAATGGCGAAAAAAGGTCGGAGAAAATAAATGTAACACTTTTTTAACGAATATCATAGTGTGATATATGTTTTTACATCCATTTTTATCTGCTACTATAAAACAAAAAGGTTATTTTAACTTTTTACCGTTATGTACCCTACCTTATGCCTTTCAAGGTGACAGTGTCGAAAATAAGAGTGCAGGGCAAAAAAAAGAGGGGGGGGGCCTCAAGTCCTCCCAAAGTCTATTTATATTAGAAATAAAGTTAAAAACTAAAGGGTACCGTTATTAATCTGACATTCCACTCTTATAAATATGTAAAGGACCACTAGCAAATACATCACACTGAACCTTTAAAAAATTATTTTTAGAAATCCCCCAAAGTACTGAAATATACAGATCGACCTTTGGAAGTGGAGTACATGGCCTATACAATAAGTAAAGGATTAGCGTACGTCATCACTCTATATACTATAACCTCGTTGGGTACAACGATACCCTTAAAATCGTGGGGTAGAGAAAAAGTTATTGAGACATTCCAGTTTATTTTTTGAAAGTTAATAGTTTTGAATAAAGGTTTCTCTAAAAACCAAAAGTGACTTGCGGTTTTGTGCAACAGAGATAAGAAAGGAAATATTTTCAGAATGTTGTACATCTGTCGTGTAACTCTTTAAATGAAGGGTAACTTAAAATTACATCGACTGCCCCTTTAAACTCAAGAAATGTCTAAACTTAATAAAGTGTACATTTACTTTCTTTGTTTTTTACCAAACCTTTACCTCATCTCCTGAAGGAGCACAAAACGTGCAAAATCTAGAACAAGAACAAAACTATTTTTTATTTAATTAGTAGAACTTAAGAAATTCCAACATTTTACTAAACGACCTAGAAACTCTTCTCCAGAATAAAATTTTTGTTATATTTTTAATTATTTTTAATAAACAAAAAAAAACAGAGCCCCTTGTTAAGATCTAGTATTTTTGTTCTTTTTCCTGCAGCATATTCCAACAAGAACAGCAGTGAGTACACCTGTAACTACTGCTGATATCACAGCAGCAGCGATCACTGCTGATCCTGTCAGGTCTCCAGCTTTCCTTGTAAACATACAGGAAATACAATCAGGATCACAAGCATCATCTCTTCGTCTCAGCTGGGTTCCGTTTAAACAGTAGGACTGGTAGTAAAGCTTTTGATTGATGATTCCAGAGCTAGTATTGTCAAACTTACCAACATCTCCACACTCACACATGGTAAAATAATATGTACTGGATACCTCCATCTGAAATATGTACAGTCGTCGTCTCAATAAGATAAAAAAGTAATAATATTATGAATTATTGTATCTATAAAGTTTATGCATATTTGTTTGACAGAAATATGATTAAAGACCTATTCATCGATACATTTTTTGTGTAACAAAATATGAAAATGATCACTCTCATATAATATATATCTTTTCTTCGCGGATTTATGTTTGCTAATTTGTTCCATTTTAAAAATTGTTTTAAAACTTGTGTAAGAGGTTTCGAGATTTTGTTACAGCTTATTTTACTCCCTCCCGGGAAATATTCTAATTTACAACATATTTATTGTAAAAGGGCTTTTTAAAACATATCAAGTAAATATTCTCCAGTCCCTTTTTGATAAGCTACAGGATGACCCAAAAAATTCTTTCATGAATGACTCGAAAACGTTTTTAAATTTAGAAATAGTTTTAATCTTCTTTTAAACTGATTCCAAGATCACCTTTTCTTGAATATTCTGTGTATACTCCTCTTCAAGTAGGAAAAGGTTAACCCTCCTGCTAACCATGTTCTCTCCCATGTTGATCATCTTAATCTCCTCGTATAGAAGATCTTTTACTCCACATCTTGAGTTTTGTTGTCTTAACACAATATTTATCAAGGAAACAGTGAATAGAAATGTCACTTACACATGTATTTAGAACACACTGAGATATCAACGAGTAGGAAAGACAGTTTTGGTCGATTTTTGTTCTTGAGTAAAATATACTGCTTATTTTTATGTTTACATTTCTATTCTTTTAGACAAAAAACGCTACACAAGCTACTTATATATATATATAATGTATATCATATGAACTAATAATAGTTTAAAGGGAATGTACGCGTTATTTAAAGTGCAACCTTCCATTTAACGAGGGGTATTCCCCGATTCACAGTGGTACCCTTTAAACCGTTGACTGGTCACGGATGACAGACATTTCCATATTTATTTACAGAAATTGCTACACACTTTGCTCGCTAGCTGTTTTAAATGTAAGTTTTACGACTTCTGACACAAAATTAAAAGAGGTATAAGCACTGAGTTCTCTGTCCTTGATAGTCAGTCAAAAGTTTAATGGGTCCGTTGTGAACCGAGATGTCCCTCTTAAAATGGTATAGCCCACTTAAAATTACGCTTTCAGTCCCTTTAAACAGTTAGATATTCAATATTGATATATGTTTTCTGCACTGTATTATGTTTTTAACAAGAATCATAAAATTGACCTGTAGTATAAATGAACTGGTACTGCGGCGAGAGTTATTCCAAAATGATTTTTTCTCATGGAAACTTCGCGTTGATTTATAACCTAGTATTAAAAAATGATTAATATTATTGCATAAAGAATTTATTGAGAATTTCCAAACAAAAGATAATTTTGTCTCTAAACTTCATATTATCTAATAAAACTGCGCGCGCCCCTGTATGAATCGTTCCATCCAATTAAAGTTTGACGAATAAGCGACCCCCCTGCTGGGACTTTTACATATGCTAAGCATATTTAGTACATTCATACAAGCTGGGAGGATCCGGTAGAAAACTTGTGTTTTATCTCACCTAGTATTCTCAGCACAGAATACTAAACAGTCATACTCACATTCCTGGTGGGACTTTCACAGATTATAATTAAGAATAGAATGGACAACAGATTAAAGTAAAGAATATTGGACAACAGAGTGGAATTTAGAATTGATTGGACAACAAATTAGAGTTCAGCATAGAATAGGCAACACATAAAAGTAAAGCAAAATGGACAACAGAATGGAATTAAAAATTGATTGGACAACAAATTAGAGTCACACATATAATTTGCAACAAATAAGAGTAAAGAAAAAATGGACAACAGAGTGGAATAAAGAATAGAATGGACAACAGATCGGTGTTAATAATAGAATAAACAACAGATTAGAGTAAAGAAGAATGGAGTTAGGAAAAGAATGAACAACAGAGGGGAATTAAGATTATAATAAAAAAAAATTATAAGGCAGAGTAGAATTTATAACAATACGAACTTAAGATTAGAAGAAAACAGATTAGAATTAAGAATAGAATGGAAAACATATTTAAGTAGAAGTAGAATGGAGATACAATTTCTTCGGAAGGTTTCAAACTATAATGCATATTTCTGAAGCAGCCAGGAAAAAGTAATTACGATGTAATATTCATACATGATACACTTTCAATTACATAATACTTAACGTATTTGTACTTTACAGCCTAAGCATTAGTGGAATACTTGCCGTAAACCGAGCAGTTGCCTAAAAGAGTTACCCGCTTGCCGCGTTAAATTACAAGACGAGAGAGATTAGTATATAATTAAGAGTTAGGTTAGGTTAAGACACTTTCTGGACCGGGCAAGTGTGCCGAATGCTGCGGTTAGGACAGGCTAGGGGACCGACCGCTGCGGTTAGAACAGGCCCTGTCTCTGTCTGTAATTTTGGCAAAAGTATAGACTGTTTTGTAATGAATTAGTTTGATTTGGACTGTACTGTTTTTCAGTATTTATTACCTTAATTCCATGGTTCAGTATCAATGGGATAATATTATTCTCAAACACTACAGGAACATATTCTTCACAAAACTATACAAATTACAGGTAAGATTGTTTATTCAAATTGTTTGTATTAAGTTACAAATACCTCAGTATTAAAAAAAAATTTTAACTATTGGGAAGAACGTTTTTAATCTATTTTTATAAAAGTATTGGTTACAAGCAAAGTATTCTATACAGTAAAATGATATTCACCCTACTATGTTTGGATTAAAATTCGCCTCTTTTTATTTCCTTCTTTTTTCTTTTCTTTTTAAAATATTTTGTGATTATTGTTATTGTATCTATCTATATCGGAATTTCTATTCACAGTGTAAAGAATAAGTTTCCTAGTTTCTGTCCTCCCTTGAACTGAATATCTTCTGTATTAATGTATCCAAGATCATTTCCAAGTATCTCAATCATGCCAGAGTACTCTGCACTACATCCTTTATCCTTCTGTTAAAAAACAATTATGGTTTAGTCTGAACAATGTTGTTATTTTTACAGTTTTTATCTAGCTAATCAACAACAGCACACACTCAACTAGATAGAAGAAGAAGGTTAAATTTATGCGACACTCTGGAACGAATTTGTGACCTCGTAGCTCATCTAGTTTTGTTTTTGCGCATTAGTATGAAAACAAAATTATATGGCTACATATTAAAAATTTTAAATATTTTTGTTCATTTTAATTGCTCTACAATAAAAGAAGTTATAATTGAGCAGCTGGCTTATTGATGATTTCTGTTTTTTTACAATTAAATGATTCATTGATCCGTTTTAAACTTGATCATCTATTGATCAGTCCACAGTAGGGATGGGCGCGTTCCTGGTGGAACGATCGTTCTTTCCCAAGAACGAACGGAACGATCAAGAACGATCCCATCGTTCCGAAAAAAAACGAACGCTTAGAACGCGTTCTTAAAAATTTTGGAACGATTAGTAAAAGAACGGAACGGAACGGGAATTGCTTGAAAAGAACGGATAAAATCGTTAACGCGTTTTTATTTTCAAGAACGCGTTCTAAGTTGGGAACGCAGTTTAAATCTGGAATGTGTTTCCAGTTCAGATTTTCTCTGTATGTATGAACCGAAATTAAAGATAGAATTAAATTGTAAATGACATTAGACACAATAATATAGAAAAGTAAGGAAGGGGGGGGGGTAAAAGGGAAAAAATACGGTTCTAAAAGGGTAAGAATATAATTATATGCGTATGTGTACAAGCGTAACTAAGGGGATACATGGGTTTAGCCGGCAGGGGGGGGGAGAAAAGGAATGGCAAGGATTTAATGCATTACATTCTTGGGGAATGGGAGCTGAAAGGGGAAAAAGAGAAGGGGGGGGGGAGAATTTAGGTTGAAAGAAATTGTTTTCTATAATTTATTTCTATTTCTTTTTGATATTATTGAAATATTGATTATGAAAATTAAATATTTTTCAAAAATCTACAAATTGTACACCCCCTTTTTTAAGGTAACCCGGTTTTAGTAATCGTTCAATACTAATAACGGAACGGGGGGAAGGAAACGTTCCTTGACTAAGAACGGAATGAGAGGGATGGAACCGTTCTTTGAATAAGAACGCCAAGAACGGAGCGGAACGGGAAGACCGTTCTTCTACTCAGAACGGAACGGAACGGGACAGAACGGAAAGTAACGGAACGATACAAAAAAAAGAAACGAGAACGGAACGATTTAGCTGAAGGCCCTCGTTCTAGAACGGAACGGAACGATTTCAAAAAAGTCGGAAAGCGTCCAGCCCTAGACTCCACAGAACTATAAAAAAAATGATCTCTTTAACCTTATGATCATTCTCAACAATAAGTTTGTTGATTGTCCCCGAGCTTGCTGTTTCATCAAAGAAGAGTTTTGATCTAAGAAGTCTGAAGACCGGATTAGCTGAATAAAAAAAATATATTTTATTTTGACTATACTGAAGAAGCAATTATGTTTAATATCTAACCTGTGCTTTTGTTTGAGTTATAAACATCAAAGAAAACTGGTTTCTTAAAAACCACATTTTCAAATACGACCTGATCAAATACAATAAGTTTTTTATTTTATTTTAATTACAAATTTTTCTAAGAAATATTAGAACAAACCTCAGTTTTGTCCTCCATAACAATATCGTATTTGCTCTCAACTATGGTAGAATCTCGAATGTATAAACTGGTGATCTAGTAAATATATAATATAAAAATAAAATAATCTAAATTTATCGATTTCAAGTTTTCAAAAATCAGAAGAGCAAGTTTTGACACTTAAAGAAACTGTAGTCAAATTTCAAATGATCCGCAATTTTTAGATGAAACTTTAAATTCACAGTAGTAAACTTTGTCTGAGCCAGGAGTATTTGTTTAGATTATTTAAGTTTCTCTGTAAAAGTGTCTTACGCATTAATGCTTTAAAGACAATGAATGAAATTAATAGAATTCAACAAAAACTTTATCAATAGAAAAACCACGACTTCTTCCCTATTGTTACTCTGGCACCGTTTTCGGGCATGTCACTTTTCAAATGGAAGGTCACTAAAAATTATGTCTTTAACCTCATTCGAAATTACGCAAAGATTCTGAAGAAACTAAGACAAACCACAAGAGTTAGAGATTAAGACCTCCTAATCTTAATAACCATTAATTCTTCTTCTTAACAACTTTATTCAATACAAAACAAATCAACAATGGTATTTTCATTTATGGAATCATAGAGAAAAAACGACGAAAAAACCGTCTCATTCTATTTTCATACCTATTGTTGCAACGAGTTGCTTTTCGCAGAGCTCTCCATTAATTAAGTTTAATCAAAATAATAATAATTTGCAAGCGTAGTAATAACCATTAATAATAACATCATCAACTTAAGACAATAGAAATCTAAGTCATTACTTAATATCTGAGCCATCCTTAACCCTCTATAGGACTAGTATCTAAGACATCCTTAACATCCTAGACTTTCTTGATATTCAGGACTATCTATGAATTTGAACACACTAGCATATTAGATAAAATTGACAATCTAAACATAACAAGACAAACCTTGTCAGTCCTGCTAGCTCCAGTAGTAGGTTGTCCTATATCTAGACAATCTATCGTCAGAGCAGTTATATTTTGTACCAAGATTCCAGCTCTAAAAATAGAGAAGAAAAAATCGTTAATGACAGTTTTAAAATTATTGTAGGGTCAAGGGCGTGTCAAGTTGTCAACCTGTGCCAACTAAATTATGACTTTTAAATAGTCTTCTAATTTTGGCCGTAAATCTAGCGATGTCGGGTTAGTACGATCGCTAGAAAATTATCAACATTAATTTTAAAAAAAATTCCTTGCCATTGAAAACTTGTTTTTCCACTTATATTATCATTTAGTATTAAATTTCAAGAATATCTTCATCGAAATGTTTTATTTTTATGCATTTCACTGACTGAGATAGCAAGAAATTAATTAATTAATAAAAAAAATTTAAAAAAATTGTCTAAGTTTATAATTTGTTTTAATCGTTATAAAACTTAATGACGATGCACCAATATTTTGATAGCCCGAAAATCATACTATCTGTGGTTCATACTACATTTTTAGATTATTGTATTTCAAAGATTATCTATCATTTATTATTGAATAGAGTTTATATTTGTTTGAAAAAAAAACTGAAAATCTCAATGTTTAAAAATAAGTTTTCTGTACCTTTGAACTTGGAGAAAGTTATGAATTGCCTCAGGTATAGGAGAGCCTGAATAAAAGAAGAAAAAATTTCATTCACGGGAAGACGACATTTATTCATGTCTAGAATTCAACCATGAGGTTAAAGGAATTGGAGATTTATTTTGTTGGTTTCTTGAAATTTTTTTTAAGGTTTTTCTTTTTGTTTTTTGAGTTTGTTTGATGGTTTGTGACTTTATGTGCTGGTTAAATTTTTTTTTATTATTTAGTTACTGGTTTTACATCTATGCTTAATCATAACAAACCATCAAAATCCAAAACTAAATGCAGAAACCAAAAATAAAGCTTTAAATCGTCATATTTTTAGAGTTTTGGGTCGTTTTTACATTCTCATCCTTTGAGGACCCATAGCTGGGTTATTTTTTTGTTTTTGAGGAAAAGTTGGCCACGGTTTGCTTGTTTGGTTTGTAAATGAATTGATTTGTTGGTTGATCCGTAAGTTTGTAATTTGGTAAGGTTGGCTGGTGTGTTATTTAGTTGATTTGTTGGTTTCTTGCTTAGATTATTTATTCTTATTAAAAATTTTGTTTTTATTTTGTTGGTCTATGAAAATGTTGGTTTTCTTCAGCTAGTTGGTTGGTCGATTTTTATCACTTAAGTTAGCTGTATGGTTTGTTGCTGGGTTGGAAAGTTGATTGGTTCGATGTTTGATTTGTTGTTTCTGAGTTGGTGTATTAAATGGGATAATATTTTGTTTGGTGAATATTTTGATGTAAAGTCCTTTTGCAGTTATTTGGTTTATTTAACTGTTGAGTGGTTAGGTGATTGGTTGGGTGTTTGTATTTTGGGTGTTGATGGGGTGGTTGGTTGGGTGGTTGGATCGTTGGTTTAATCGTTGGTCTGATTGTTGGTTTGATAGTTGGTCTAATTGTTGTTTTGATCGTTGGTCTGATTATTGTTTTGATCGTCGGTCTGATTGTTGAATGGATCGTTGTTTGGATTTATGGTTGGATTGTTGATATTTTGGTTGTTTATATGATTTTTGGTTGAGTGTTTAATTGGTTGGTTGGATGGAATGTTCAATTAAATTGCTGGTTGGATTGCTGGTAAGATTGTTGGTTAAATTGTTGGTTGGATAGATGGTTAAATTATTTGTTGGATCGTTGGTTAGATCGTTGATTGGATATATGGTTATAATATTTGTTGGATCGTTGGTTAGATCGTTGATTGGATAGATGGTTAAATTATTTGTTGAATCGTTGGTTGGATCGTTGATTGGATAGATGGTTGAATTATTTGTTGGATCGTTGGTTGGATCGATGATTGGATAGATGATTAAATTATTTGTTGGATCGTTGGTTGGATCGTTGATTGGATAGATGGTTAAATTATTTGTTGGATTGTTGGTTGGATCGTTGATTGGATAGATGGTTAAATTATTTGTTGGATCGTTGGTTGGATCGTTGATTGGATAGATGGTTAAATTATTTGTTGGATCGTTGGTTGGATCGTTGATTGGATAGATGGTTAAATTATTTGTTGGATTGTTGGTTGGATCGTTGATTGGATAGATGGTTAAATAATTTGTTGGATCGTTGGTTGGATAGATGGTAAAATTATTTGTTGGATCGTTGGTTAGATCGTTGATTGGATAGATGGTTATATTATTTGTTGGATCGTTGGTTGGATCGTTGATTGGATAGATGGTTAAATTATTTGTTGGATTGTTGGTTGGATCGTTGATTGGATAAATGGTTAAATTATTTGTTGGATCGTTGGTTGGATCGTTGGTTGGATAGATGGTTATATTATTTGTTGGATCGTTGGTTGGATCGTTGATTGGATAGATGGTTAAATTATTTGTTGGATTGTTGGTTGGATCGTTGATTGGATAAATGGTTAAATTATTTGTTGGATCGTTGGTTGGATCGTTGGTTGGATAGATGGTAAAATTATTTGTTGGATCGTTGGTTAGATCGTTGATTGGATAGATGGTTATATTATTTGTTGGATTGTTGGTTGGATCGTTGATTGGATAGATGGTTAAATTATTTGTTGGATCGTTGGTTGGATTGTTGGTTGGATTATTGGTTGAGTGTTTGGTTGGTTAACGAATTGTATGATTGGTTGACACGGTTACAGACTATAATATTTGAGAAATCCTACGGATCAATAGAGAGCTAATATTGGGTTGTATGGTTGTATGCAAAATGGTGTTTTAAACACGATATATACTGCTATTTTCATGTCACACAACGCCGTAGTTTTAATCAAACACTTTCAAAAGTAAAATAAAATAAACATACATGTATTAAATACTTCATACACGCTATATATGTACAGTTTATAACTTGATAAAACACTTTTTTACATATTTTAATCATTATTGCTGATATTATGTTCCTTAAATTTCTTCAATGCAACTATGTTATGTATCGAATAAATGTATCTATATCATAAATCCATCTTATATACATATATGTACAATATCATATTTATTTTGGTTACACTTCATGTTAGATAAGGATAAAATTTTATTTCTTATTTTAAATATTTACCTAAGCAAAGCTTCAGTGATTTACAGTTCATTATGATGAGAAGGTTTGATACTGACCAATCTAACTCATTCTAAAACATATTGTATAATTATCACTTTGATCTTGCCAGGCTACATTTGTTTTGGGTCGACTTTACACAGGGTAGTTCAGACTGGACAATACAACTGAATGGAAGTAAGGTTGGTAAGGTAGATACAGATGAGAAGGTTGGATACAGATGAGAAGGCTGGATTCAGATGAGAAGATTTAAAACAAATGAGAAGGTTGGATACAGATGAGAAGGCTGGATTCAGACGAGAAGATTAGATACAGATGAGAAGGTTGCATACAGATGAGAAGTCAGAAGGTTGGATACAAATTAGATTGGAAAGGTTAAATAAAGGTATATTCCAACTCACAGTGCCCCAAAAATTAAAGGGAGTGTTTGCGAAAAATGAAAGGGGGTATAGGTTTAATGCGATAAAAAAGCGCTTTTGATCACTACGAATCTTACTTCTATCTGTTGCGTCTATAAGGAGAAAATTGCTAAAAACGACTTATGCTGAATAACATAGCATCCACCAAAATTGAGAACGTTGTTATATTCGATTCGGATCGTAAAAAAATCAATTTAATTTCAAACAAATCAAACAGATATTACAACCTATAGTCACAAATTATTTTTCGTCACATTTGTATATAGTTATTTTTTCATAATATATTTTACTTCTTTTACAAAAACAATGCACTTAAAACAACGATTTTTTCCGCTAGGTGTCTCTTCCACGTGGAATCATTAAGAGCATCGAGAGCAGAGACACCTGGCGGACAAACTAATCGGCGTTTTAAGTGCATTGTATATAAAACAAATACAAAATATTATGAAATATCAACTATTTGCCAATGCATCGAAAAATAATCGATGACTAAAAGTTGTAATAGCTAAAAGATTTGTTGGATAATAAATCGATTTTTTTTTTACGATCATACTCATGGATTGCAATTTTCTCAATTTGGGTGGATGCTACGTTATTCGGTATGAGTCGTGTTTAACAATTTTCTCCTTATAGACGCAACAGATAGAAGTAAGATTAGTAGCGATCGATCGCGCTTATTTTTCGCTGTATATGCGTATACCCCCTTTCATTTTTCGCGAACACTCCCTTTAAGACAAAGTATCGTTATAAACCCCGGAGTGGGAAACAAGGTTACATGCATGCAATTTTTGTATACATCCATATTTGTGTAAACAAATTTTTTTTCTTAAGGTTCCTTTACAAGAATTAGAATTTACACAAATATTAAACTTTCTGTTTTGGCATAAACGAGGATATTTCCTACCTAGAGTAATAACTGTTTTTATGATAAAATTTTATCAAGATTGTTAAAGTTCTATACTATATATTATGATAATATTTGCCCTTTTCAGGAAAAAACGCGAAAATTATCTATTTTTTTCTGAAAGTAATATGAGTTACTAGCTATAGTGCCCGGCGTTGCCCGTGGAATTAAAAAAATCTAATTTTGAAAGGAAAATAAAGATAAGTTTAAAATAAAATATTTTAAATTTTTTTGGCCTATTTTAGTTACCCCCAGGGTACTCATGGGTTTTCTAAAAAAGCAAAAGCGAACATATATTCAGAGGGTTGAATAAAGTTGTATTAATATTCTTCACCTGTTTATAATGATAGCTGTCAAAGAAGGATTTTGATGTGTCTCCATACACCTCAGGACTGTCAAGTCTCTGACGTTATTATATTTTTATTTTATTTTAAAAATGCCTGATTTGTAAAGATATTTTAATTACAAAACAATCCCATTAGAATGATAAGCATCTGATAGCTTTTTATAAAAAAAATGTTGTAAAGGCAGATAATATTTTGTAATTTGTAACGCAAAGGAATTGATTTTTTGCCACAAACTCGGATTTTTTAATTTCATATTTTCAACACAATTTGTTGTAGACCTTAGATATGTCAAGCTATGAATTCTGTTTGATCAAATAATCTAAGTTTGAAAAACTCAAATGTTTAAACCATCAGTTTGCAAAGATATCAGGATTAGAAAATTCGAGTTTGTGAAAAGACTTAATTCCTTTAACAATTTCTAATAGTTACTATAGATTTATTTTCTGCACTTTAGAAAATGTCAAATCATATTTTTTTATGATTTCTTTGTTGCACTTTGTGCATTCTTACTTCTTTACTTAATCTTGGAAAAAAATTATAGTTTTAAAAATTGCAATGTACAACAAAAATCTGCTCTTTAAAATTCGATATTGGATCAGAAATTATTTGTGATTTTTGTTTGATCTTTTAATATAAAAATGGAAACAAGCCTGCATAAAAAATATATATATAATTTTTCATATATATGTTTAGGGTTGGTTTAACAGTTAAAGTAAAAAACTGGAAGAATGAATATAAAGACTTTAAATTTTGTAAATATCTACAATCGCACTATAACATATTTTTATTGTGTTATTTATCTAACCTGCGAATCAGGACATTTACAAATAAATATCTGATATTTAGCGTCGGCTGATTTTCTTGTTTCACTTACAGTTTCCTAAATAAGCATTTCTTCATTAATTCCTTTTCAATATCGTTTATTGAAAAATTACAAAGGAAAATGTAAAGGAAAAGTTTTGATTCAAAAGCGTTTTTTAATTTTAGTAAAATCTTTAGATTATTTTGTAAATATTGAGATCACTCTCCTATAAACTCCACTGTGTCTTTGGTTTATGCACTGCAGATCAATAAAGTACTCATCAAAGGCTTAGTATAGGATGAGATGAAAACAAAAAGAGGATTCTGATCGAACCTATTTTGTTTTCTTTTATTTAGGAAAATCGTTAGAAGCTCCAAAAGTAAAACCTTTGCTTGTTACTTGTATACTGTCAGTGGCAATACAAAAATTAACTATTTATTAATCAATCTAAATAATATTACACTTTGAAAGGTTTTAAATTGCAATAATTGCACGCAAAATGTAGATTGTAGATAAATGCAATATTTCCCAACATCATAAAAAAGTGTGCTGCAGTTTTTTTGGGAGAAATATATAGCTCGGTCTTAGTAGTGCGGACTTGCGGAGTTTACATTTCGCCCAAAAAATGCAGTACACTTTTTTGCGATCAAAGATACGGGATTCCGGGGGAATATTTCTTGTATGTATGTATAAACGACAAATAAAAACGCTTTTACAATTATTACATTTGGTACCTAAACTTTTAATTAATATATTACACAACTATACTAACAGATGGTGCTATGGTGTTACTCTAATATATCTTATTTAGCAGGAATCAAATTAGCTAAACCGAACACCACTTTATAAATATCGAATATACAATTAGAATTAACAGATTTGAAACGCTATTTTTGTTTAGAAAGAATAGCAGCGTGCGGGTGCCGATTTATTTTTTTTGATGGAAACTGCAGCAAAAATGAGCAAAAAAATGACGGGAGCAAAATTCAATGATGGCACTTTTAAACAATATAAAAGGGCAGTCTGAATGTTAATACACGACTCCTTCAATTAAACCTAAGACAGAATAATTGAACGTAAAATGCACTGTTGTTCCTTATTTAAACCTGAAAGGGAAAGTGTCTGACGAACATATGTTTTATTTCAGAATGTATTTTAAATGAAGTTGGGATAGAAACGTACACGTTAAACATATATGGAGTGAATACAGAGTGAGCCAAAAAGAAGTATGTTTGCAGGGTTAATTTTAGGTGGACAAATATTATAATCAAGAAAACCAAATGCCAAAATAGTTGGTACACAGAAACAAATTGGGGAAACTTTTTTGTGAAAATGTTTTCTTTCTTCAGAAATGGATTAGAAAAGGAACTGAGTTTTTCTCACAAACTCAAATTGTCTAATCCCTATATCTTTACAATCTGATGACGATGATAAACCTTTGATATTAAAAACTTAGCTCATTTGGTCTAACAGAACTCATAGTTTGAAATATGAAAGGTCTTCGACATTGGGTAGCAAAGATATAGAGGTTAGAAAGGTAGAGTTTGTGACAAAAACTCAGTTCCTTTGTTATTATTTTATATTCCAAAGTTTCATAAAAAATAGAGGTATTAAAAAAAATCTGCGAAAAATATCATTACAAACCTACTCCAAATCTTACGGAGGGCAAAATATCACAAAGGAATTGAGTCTTTTCCACAAACTCGAATTTTTAAACCTCTATATCATTTCATATTTGATCTAACAGAATGCATAGTTTAAAATATCTAAGGTCTACGACATTTGGTTGAAAAGATATAAAAATTAAAAAATAAGATTTTGTTGCAAAAACCCATTTCCTTTCTAAGAATTGGTGGAAATTTGCACTGCCAATATTTCTTGAATTTTTTGTTTATCTTTTTAATTTGTCCATAGATTTTTGAAAAATTTGTGAACAAAAAAACATGCAAATTTTTCCCTTAATTTCTGAAGAAAAATATTTTTTACAACAAAATACGTTTAGCATTTATTATTCTTTGTACCAACAAAATGTTTTTTATTTGTATTTTCATTTTAATATATTTGGCCCAAAACATGAATCCCGCAAAAAATATTATCAGCTGACTTTACATTTATCGAAAATTCTTAATTAGCTATATTCACAACAGTTTTCAAAATTAATGTCACTAGAATTTTCGTTAACTGTCCCTTGAAAGCTTTTGAGCCATTTTTTTAATACATTTATTATCTATGTTTACGCATGAAAATAATGGTTGCGTAGCAAAAACATGATTTTCAGTGCTTGATGTGACACGTTAGCTAAATATCAATATTTTAAATCTTTACTTTCCCGACAGGGAATTCATGGCCAGTAAATTGTGCAAAAAAACTATTGATATCTATTGACATTGATCGACAAGTTGCTTTTTAGAAAATAAAAAACAACACGATCATCTCTCTTAGATATTTTATAACATGCACCAATCTCTGACAGATATTCTAGTGTTGATCGGATTTAGATTGTTATTTGTAGGTTACAGATTTATTTTATCTGGGTGTTTAACAAGAGAAAAAGAAATAATACAAAATCTATTTATTAAACTGTAGAAATTAAATAATTAAAAAGATTGAAAGAATTGAAAATTATTAGTTTAAAATACATAATGAAAAAACATTTAGCAACCGAAAATCATCCATTAGTCAAACAGGACGTTTATACATTCTTCCTTATTTACTACAATAAACATATAGTAAAGGTAGTTTTTATTGTTAAAGAACTTGAAAACTCGACACAAACTCTAATTTGATAATCCCTATATCTTCGCAACCTGATGATATTTCGCAAATCTTTGATATTTTAAACTTAGACTTTTTGATCTAACAGAATTCATATTTTGATATACGTAAGCGGTAAGGTCTACAACATCAGGTTGCTAAGATTTAGAATATTATAATTTTAGGCATGGGCTCTGTTCCTTTCTTTTTTCAAGGGAACCAATATGAAGATTGAAGGTTTTCAATTTTGAGAATTTTTTTTTTTTCATGAAAGGTTGTGAAGAGAACTTCTCTGTTTTAACAATCTTGATAATAATTAGGTCACTAGGTTAATTGCTTTGTTTAATATTTCTCAAATTAAATATTTTAAATAAAAAGGCTCCCAGAAAAGGAATTGAATCAATAAACAATTGTTCAAAATAAAACGCAAGATAAATGTTCCCACTGTACCTCATTCAGACTCAAGTTTTGATTCTAAATAGATAACGTTTAAAACGTTTATGGTTTGCTCTCGATAGAACAAATTTAGACCTTGAGTCTTTTTTAGAGTTAAAAATTATACTACCGTTTGCCCCGTATATCAAATAAAGATTTAATAATGTAAAAAAGATGAGATTGTATCTAGTATACATGTTTACCTTACTGTCCAGGTTCCAGCATATATCAGGGGTTTATACAGAAATATGTGAAGGGGGGGGGGGGGCTTAAATTAACGAAATTAAATGTTCTGTGTTATTTCTTTTAGAACGCAAGGATCTTTATCCAACATGTATTCTATAAATCTTAGATTACAGACACACTCAACACAGAAACATTTATTTAACTAATACAAATGAACCATTTTTCATTATTCATTACAAAGGAATTGAGTCTCTAGCACAAACTTTGATTTTCAAATTCCTATACCTTTGCACCCCAATGTCATAGACCTTAAATATGTCAAACTATGAATTCTGTTATACAAAATAATAATGCAGGGCTAAAATATCAAATCAAATACACCATCAGCTGCAAAAATTTGATTTTGTGTCAAAACCCATTTTCTTTTGTTCTTTTGCATTACATTCAACTTTTTGACTCCCCAAAAATAGTTTCTTTTTTAAATTCTGTTATTTACCTGGTTGATTCTATAGGCTGCAGGATCACCATCCTTCTCTATCCTACACTCAAGTTTGGATTCAGTTATGTTTACTAACATTGCTAGCAACAGTACGATTATCCTTACCCACTCCATCTTTTAGACATGTACAGTTGAACATACAGTTTAGAAGTTACGAGGTTTGGGTGTGTTGTTATGTATGCTTTAATTAGGACTGCTGCCTTGTGTGGAACTGTATGCATACCCGATTATTTCGAGGTTTTAAATGTTTGAACTTTTGTAAGTGTTTCTTGGTTTTACGCTCAGACACCCGGCCCGTACCGACTTATATCACAATCAATAAGCCGTTTACTCTTAAAGGGACTGTGTGCTTACTCTTACATTCCTCGATATAAACAAAGGGTAAGCTTAGAATTATGTAATGGCGTAAGTCATACTTTCAGTCGACTTTCAAGCTAGGCGCACTTTTTAAAAATTAGATTTACTAATATTGTTATTATCAAATGCTTTGAACCCGTGAAGCGTCTTTAATTTTCTCTTTTTCACATTAGATCCCTTAATTTATACATAGTGTCATATTAATGAGATTTAACATAAAATGTGTGGGTCATGGCTCTTTAGCCAAAACCAATTAATTATGGCGTTGAACAAATTCAGAAATTTTGATACAACATGGCACTTAATCATGAAAACTAAAAATGGTGAATGAAGATTTGCAAAACATTATTTAAGACCTATATATTCTATACAGGAAGGAAAGTCTTTTAATAAAATTTTATACTTTACTTCAATAATTCTTATAGTGTTTTTTCTTCATTTATTAACGTAATACATTACATGGATCGATTTGATAATCATCACTTTGGTTTTTTTATTACTTTGTGATTGCTAAAATTGATAATTTATTATGAACATAACGAATTTTGTATACATGTTGTTAATTCACATAAAAAGAATGGTTAAATTAATATGAGCTGACGTGATTTAAACAAAAAAACATATGAATAGAATTTTTAACCGATTCACAACAGAGTCAAATATTTTGTTATTGTTTTAATCCCAAAAAAAGACGAAGTAAAACTTATTTTGGCAAATTCAATCTGAAAAATAAATCAATTATCCACCAATCATTTTCTTATAATATGCTCCTTATCTGTATCCAGATTACTTTGATTCTATTGAGAATTTATGTTCCCTCAGACATTAATGCTTTTTTTATAGTTCCCTAGAACACGGTTCTTCTAGTTTGAATAATGCAAGATTAAAACCAGATTATATTTCAACCTTGGTGACTCAGATGGATTTCCCTCATTCAAACCTGACAACTCTCTTAATTAGTCTCAGGTAGTAGTAAGGCAGTTCGAAGGGGCTAAGGGGCATTTATGGGACTACAGGGGTCAACATGGGTTAAGGGAGAAAATAAAGAACCACAGATTAAGGTATTATGAACCATTGGTGGGGAGTTAATGATCTTGTGTTAAAGGACCAAAGGATGAGGATAAGAAAGCAAGGGTAGAATTTAACTGACAAAGAGTGGAGGTTAAGAACCTAGGTTAGAGGTTATAAGAACAAGCGTGGAGGTTAAAAGACCATGGGCCAAGATGAAAAGACAATTGGGATATTACAGACCAATGAGGAAAGGTAAAAGTACCAAAGGTTGAGGTTAAAGGAACAAAGTATAAGGTAAAGGAACAAGGGTTAAATGTTAAAGGACCAAATGGGAACGATAAAGTATACCTAAGGGGAAATTAAAGTTCCAATAACACATCTTAATATTAAATTAGAATTAACTATTTACAACTTCTTTATTAAGGGATACCAAAACCAATCTTGCATACCTTATGAAAACAAATTAGGTTAAAAGTAAGATTCTATAAACTTAAGTTTCCGGATCAAGGACTGGAGATTGGAGATACATATTAATCTAAACGTGGAAGATTTTCAGCCAAAATTAGATAATCTTATCAAAGCGGGGAGTTGAAGAACTGATGAGCATTAAAAGACCTGGATGGAAGGATTAGTGTCCCCGAGTAAGATTTAACTTTTTACATCGGACCATAAGCGAACACTGCATAGTAGAGTACAATTAGATGCCTAAATTAGCTTATCCTAGAATTACCTAGGGAACCACAAGGGAAATCAAATTAATTCACCGCGCCTTGATCGTTTCTTTTATAACACTAAATGGAATTAAGTCTTTGTTACAAACTCAATTTTTTTTTTATCTTTGCAACGTGGTATTTTAATGTGCTATTTGACATATTATTTACATTCTACATATGATATTCAATAATTCTTTAGCGTAAACTGTTCTCTTCTAGTAAACATATAAATGTAAAAAAAATAAAGTTTAGAATATTTGTCTGCAGCGTAAACTGTTCATGTGTTTGTAGTAGGTTGTATTCTAAATCTTTAAAATATTTGCATTTGTATATACATTTTAGGCGTATTTGTATCCAATAAGCGAACAGTAAAAAACATTGAATAAAAAGAGATAAACTTTAAAATATTTGAAGAAGAAAACATGTTAAATTCCATACAATTTCACCTTTTTTGTGCAAATCTAGAATTTCTTCGCCTAGATTTATGGTGAGTTTGATTCCTCTAAAATGAGATAACAAACCCTGATGGATCTTCAGTAAAATAAATCAGATCAGTGTTTGTGTAATTTGATTCCATTCAGCCTAAAGATAAATTTAGTTTAATGTTTTTCTTAATGAATAGTAGAACAGTATAAGAGGAATGAATAGTAGGACAGTCCAAGAGGAATGAATAGTAGGACAGTCCAAGAGGAATGAATAGTAGGACAGTACAAGAGGAATGAATAGTAGGACAGTACAAGAGGAATGAATAGTAGGACAGTATAAGAGAAATAAATAGTAGAACAGTATGAAGAGGAATAAATAGCAAGACAGCTAGTACAAGAGGAATTAATAGTAAAACAGTATAAGAGGAATAAATAGTAGAACAGTATGAAGAGGAATAAATAGCAAGACAGCTAGTACAAGAGGAATTAATAGTAAAACAGTATAAGAGGAATGAATAGTAGGACAGTATAAAGAGGAATGAATAGTAAGACAGCTAGTACAAGAGGAATTAATAGTAAAACAGTATAAGAGGAATGAATTGTAGGGACAGTATAAAGAGGAATGAATAGTAGGACAGTATAAGAGGAATGAATTGTAAAACAGTATACGAGGAATGTATAGTAGAAAAGATATGAAATATGTACTGTTCCAACCTGCACATACAGTCCCTTAAAAGAATAAAAGACCAGGTCACTAGAAATTGTATTTGTTTGGCTGATTTTAGTGTAAAGATTGGAAAATTCCTCTCTTTATTTAGGTATTAGTTTTTATTATGAGAACCAGCACTTCGCACATCTTCAGGTCTATTTGTTCAACAAAGCAAACATAGGATACATCTGTTTACAGAGAGGGGTATTACGTGGGGAAAATATTGAAACTAATGTTTAGGAAGATAGGAGCTGTAAACTATACTGAGAAGATTATCTAATATAATGTTTAGGAAGATAGGAAAGTACATTCTGTATCATCACAGTTAAAGTAACGATGTACCAAAAGTAAACATCCCACAATAGATTTCCATTGCGCACGTTAAAATTGCTAAATTTCTGGAATTCTTTCATAAAATCGCACAAGTTTAACATCTTTTTTCCAATTTGCTTCTTTCTATTTCTCGTGAGCACCCCTTTAACTTTCGATATCCTTCAAACTTGCTTAAATCTTAAAGAATTTTAATGGAAATTAAAGTTGTTTAACTATGAAACGTAGGCAATAATTGTGAATCAGATGATTATGTTATTCCATTTAGGTTAAATTTGTGTATAGAGAAAAGGGGTGTATTTTTGTATATGTGTATATTGTATAAGGCAGGTATATAAGAACAAGAATGCTGGAGGGTTAACGTATTAGGGGTTGAAGTTGGCCAGAAGAAATATCAAGTGCCTACAGACGTTGTAACATGTCTTTATTATTGCAGATTAAATGTTATTTAAATATTAAAGACTATAAAAATATCAAATGAATCTGAAGATGTTAATCAAGGCGAATGAATGAATGGAAGAGCTATTGATAGATAATTAGTGAGCTAGTGAGGGAGAGTAGAGAGAGAGTGCGCGTCTGCTGAGTATGGTTTACTGGTCCCAGTATACATGGGAATCTGAGTATATGTTAGTAGTCCTGAAAGTGAAACCGTCCCAGCTCCAGCTCTCCTAGTTCCATCCCTGATTCTGTAATCAGTCCCCAGTCCCTGGTATCCAGTAGCCGTGTACACCTTGAATCAAATTAAATGGATCTGTTTCAACTTTTATCCATGTGAAACTATATTCTATGTGCAGAGGGCAACCCATGGAAGTGATCACGCGTTGAATTATTTAGTGATATTTTTGGTAAGCACCTTTAACTCTATTACATCTCAAAAATTGTGAAATTCAAACCTAAATTTTTCCTTTCCGAGTACTTCGAAACAAACCTTTTGGTATTCCAATTCATTTTAAAATAGACTTTTAGAAAGGAAAAATCCGTATTGGGAAATTAAAGAACTAAGGGTGTGTAATAAAAAAAAACTTTTTTTACTAAAGAAAGCCCAAAGAAATGGATGTACAAAATCTATATGAAGGGAAAGGCTAACCTAAACGAAAGTGAAAGCTGTAATCGTATTCAGGGTTTCCGGGGACGCTATTTAATTTTCAACCCCTTTAAACGCAATGTATAAATCTTGAATAGTGGTCGGGAAAGGGTGAAATTACGCAGGAAGTTGGAAGGGGGGGATATTTAAAGCCGGAAAATATTTAATGGATATAAACCTGAAGGTCTCTTAACAATAATATAATTTGAATTTAATTTAATTAATGATGATTTAATATAGATTGTGGAAATACGTTTAATAATAAATCATTTAATGATGTTTGATAATCCATGTTTAATTTCTCCTTTTAATTCTGACAATCGATCCAACTTAATCACGCATTTAGTGAGTGTGAGAAATATGATTTCTTTTAGTCGGAAGATTAAAGATATACTTTGAATATTTTAATTTTTTCCCTTAGATTTATTGTTAATTAGTATTGTTAATTTCTTCCCTGTCCATTCTATCTATCTATCCATCTTTATATTGATGAAAGTGGGGGAAACCAGGGAAATCTTTATTGGTTCTGGGAGAGGTTGCATTCAACCATCTGTTGGAGAAGTTGGTCCAGTAGTATCCTTATATCCTTGGTCTGCCCGGAGCATATAGTCGGAGAAATTGTCATGTTATCAAACCTGTCCGGGGACTAAACAAACCTGTCCGACTAAAACCAAACCACCCCGAACAACAACTATGTCGTTGATTAGATCTAAATCATGAGAACTAAGTACAACCCGAAAACTGACTTTTAAATTTCACAAAGAAACCCAAATTCATCCTTTTTTAAAGAAACTAAAGCAACGAAATTGAAAATAGAAAACTTAAGCGATCAAATTTATTCACTTCAACAATTTGTTTTTTCTTTGAATAAAGATTAAATTTGATAAAATAATTTATATTCAAATTGATTTTAATTACTAAAGTTAAAAAAATAGATGTTATATATTTTATAATTCTAACGGTTGCTGTTTATTTCAGGATTTACAGTGGAGAAGCCCAGGAGGGCTAAACCAGGGCTTTTAATATGGGGAACCAAGGCAGCCCTGTGCTAGTGTTAGTTAAACAGGTAAACATAACCTTATCAACCATTCATAGATCCTCTTGTGAAATTTAAATACGATTGTATAATTTATTCCTTCAATGTCGTGTTTAATTTCGCCCTCCTTTGACATTAGTTCTGCGTTACGGAGTGCGAACATTAAAAGTGCGTAAACGGAAAGTAAGAGTTTTGTTTAAAACCGTGATTTTTTGGCTTATTCGTATTATCCCTTGTAAATTTAAAAGTTTTTGAAACGATTTTTTTTTCGGCATTAGCTAATATTTTAAATTCAACTACATTTAATTTTCTTTTTTAATTTACGTCTTTTTATATTTGTTTACTTTCATTTTCATTTTCTCTTTCCTTGGAACCTACTCTACTCTTCTTGTATACCAGATCACCCTAGAATTTTGTATTCAATACAATTCTGAAATGGATTTTCTGTATAAACTCTATTATTATATATGTGTAATTTACTAAACCCGACGGCCCTTAAACACGTGAATACAAACTCCTTTTATGAATTTCCTTCACAACCAACCCTCTTATATATACTTGAGTCTACCCCACCCTCTATTGCACCCTTACAGTGAAGGTATGTGGGTATGAAGTCGTAACAACTTTCTCCCTCCCTCCACATACCAACGTTTTCTAAAAGTATGAAAGTAAAAACTACGCAAGCCAAGGACAGTCGTGGTCAGGGATTTTCATCCTTAAGCTAATAATTTAATAATGGCCTGGGATGTATTTTATTATTTTTTAGAAATCCGGCCATTATTTGCCAATCAGCGGAAGCGTTTCTATAATTTATTTTCCCTGAAGCTTACAGGCGCCCCTAGATCTAAAACGCTTGAAGCTACCACTCTTTCCGAGGGGTGGGGATTCAGAAATAAGGGCATCGTCGGTTATCTTCTTATCATCTACTCGGTTGTAATTACTATTCGTCTTAAGTCGCTTACTTTTTGGCCACCTAAAATAACTATTTTTGTTTTTCATAATATGTATATTAGTTATATATAAAGGGTCATGTTCTGTAAAATTGTCAAATTGAATTATAAATTTTCCTTCTTTAAACTAGATTTGCACATATCAAACCAAAATATTGATTTCTAATTTTTCAGATTTTGGTTCTGAGTTTTATTGGAAGTATACGCGGACAAAATGATCTTGATTTCTGGAATGTTGAAAGGCCAAAGGACATGTCAAACCTGGCCAGTCTCGAGGTTATGTGTGGGAAAACCTATATGGAGGTTCAAGTTAGCTTTGACCGGCCCTTCAACGGTATAATATTCAGCAAGGGAGCTGTAGATCAATATAATTGTATTTATGTGAAACCACAAACCGGTTCAGCCTCATACTCATTCAACATCATGTATGATCAGGTAGGTTTTTATTTACATTATCAAAGAAACTGAGCTGAAAACTTTAGAATGTGATATCCTTAATCCCGATCTGTTAATTAATCTGAAGATTACATTCATGAGGAAAACAAGCAATATTTAATCTGGAGATTAAGAAAAAGAGTGGATCAAGCATTAATCCCGATATCCACCATTCTAAAGTTCCCAGCTCTGATTACATTTCTCATACTCTAATGGTCTAATCCTTACAGCTTTGCAAAATGATGTTGTATATTGTCGTGATATTTCAAACTATGAGTTCGGATGGACCAAATAGTCAAAGTATGAAATACCAAAGGTGTACATCATTAAGTTGAGAGTGTACACTTGGTGGGGTCTTTATTCTAATTAAGGGATTGTATGTTAAATTTTAGAAACTGTCTTTTTCTTAAAAAGAGGTTAAAACAAGACAAGGTCAACAGATAGAGTAGAAGGCCCATAACCCAGATACCGAATTATTTCTTAACGGTTTCATTATAAAAAGTATGATGAAGTCATAAGTTGAAAAATCAATTGCCAATCAGTCAAGTTTAATTGATTTAATCAAATTAAGATAAACAAGATAAACTCTTTTGTAAACCCAATCAAATCTAAATCAAAGCAAAGGATCGGATAATTCCATAGATAAAGATAGATTGCGCATAAGACGACATTTTTCATCTTGAAAGATTTAAATGTACAGAGATGTTTTAAAGATATTCTTATTATATAGATTAACTAGGTCGGTTGTGAACATTGGCTGTTCTTATGTCATTGGGTACTTGTGGTGTACATGAGTTCTGTGGAGAGAAATTTAAGTTAGTTTAGTCCTTCTCATGTCCTTCTTAAGTTCTCGTCAATATGATATATTGCTCAGTGAAATATTGTTGTTCAAATAGTTCCATTCCCGGAGTTATTTTACACTCTATTATGAAATCCATTAAAACACCAAACCATCCCGCTTATCATTGAAGTACACTTTGACCCCTAGTAGCATGAGTTCGCGTACTGTACAATTCTTGGTGACTTTGCGTACAAAAGCTATCTATGTTTATTTATTTATCTATGGATAATTCTGATAATAAAACTAGTAAAATAAAAGTAGAAAACATCGGCTAGACTGTAGAGTGTAGAAAGTGAAATGAATTCTTCCAAGTAGAACTTCATTAGGAAATCCTCTGATCACATCGTGGAAACGTATAGACCTAATCAAACAACTTGGTTTACAATAGATGTGGCAATTTGAACCTCCCCCCCTCCCTCCCAACCCTCTCCTCCCACAATCTCAAATCATTTTTTAATTGTTCTTTGAAAAATCTGATGATTTGATTGGATTACGGAGAAAAGTTGAGTCGGTGGAGGGGGCAGGGGGTGGGGATTGGATGAAAGACGTTTATTGATTAAAGAGGCTAGTTAGAAAAGACGAGTAGAAAGAGAGAGAGGGAGAGGAGGGGAAGAGGGGAGGGGGTAGAAAAGAGAGAAGACATATTGACAAGTTTTAAGCATAATTGAATTTTAATGAGTAGACGTCATGCATCTGTATTTGTATTAAACTTTACAGGGCGAACAAATTTATTATAAAAATAATTTTTAAGCCTGTTTACAAATTAAGTTAAAATATTATGGAAATTAATAAAGAAAAGAGGCAAATATTATCAGATCTGCAAAAAATGCGGCAAAAGATTGCTTTTCAAAGATAAAGTAATCCAAATCTCAACAACAAAAAAATGTTTTGGTTTAATGAGTTCAAACATTTATCCTCTCGCTTGCATTTTACTCTCAAATATTTCCAAACTACTAAGAATATGATATAAAGTTTTGAAAATTATTAAAGAATAAGAAAAGAAGAGAAATTAATATTTAAAAAGAGAATTCAAGCAATGATATATTGGGGAACAAATTCTACAGTGGACAGATAAGATAGAGAAATTGTAGAAGTGGACAGTTAAGAGAGAGGAATTGTAGGAGTGGGCAGATAAGAGAGAGAATTGTAGGAGTGGACAGTTAAGAGAGAGGAATTGTAGGAGTGGACAGATAAGAGAGAGGAATTGTAGGAGTGGAAAGATAAGAGAGAGGAATTGGAGAAGTGGACAGATAAGAGAGAGGAATTGTAGAAGTGGACAGATAAGAGAGAGGAATTGTAGGAGTGGAAAGATAAGAGAGAGGAATTGGAGAAGTGGACAGATAAGAGAGAGGAATTGTAGAAGTGGGCAGATAAGAGAGAGGAATTGTAGGAGTGGACAGATAAGAGAGTGGAATTGTAGGAGTGGAAAGATAAGAGAGAGGAATTGTAGAAGTGGACAGATAAGAGAGAGGAATTGTAGAAGTGGACAGATAAGAGAGAGGAATTGTAGAAGTGGGCAGATAAGAGAGGGGAATTGTAGAAGTGGACGGATAAGAGAGAGGAATTGTAGGAGTGGACAGATAAGAGAGTGGAATTGTAGAAGTGGGCAGATAAGAGAGAGGAATTGTAGGAGTGGGGAGATAAGAAAGAGTAATTGTAGGAGTGAACAGAGTGGCAGAGTGGACAGATAAGAGAGAGGAATAAGTGGCAGAGTGGACAGACGAGAGAGAGGAATGAGTGGCAGAGTGGACAGATAAGAGAGAGGAATGAGTGGCAGAGTTGACAGATAAGAGAGAGGAATGAGTGGCAGAGTGGACAGATAAGAGAGAGGAATGAGTGGCAGAGTGGACAGATAAGAGAAAGGAATGAGTGGAAGAGTGGACAGATAAGAGAAAGGAATGAGTGGAATAGTGGACAGATAAGAGAGAGGAATGAGTGGAAGAGTGGACAGATAAGAGAGAGGAATGAGTGGAAGAGTGGACAGACAAGAGAGAGGAATGAGTGGCAGAGTGGACAGACAAGAGAAAGGAATGAGTGGAAGAGTGGACAGATAAGAGAGAGGAATGAGTGGAAGAGTGAACGTATAAGAGAGAGGAATGAGTGGAAGAGTGGACCGATAAGAGAGAGGAATGGTGGAAGAGTGAACGTATAAGAGAGAGGAATTGTGTTGGTAGAAATGATAAATAGTATTACTGTAGCGAATAAAAACCTTCCTGCAGTAGATATGCACGAATGTGCTGAGCTATTATCACGGATTCGGGTCATTTCACTATTTCCTCATTTTCTAGAATTTTCACAATGTAGCCAGGATAAATCAAGGATAAAAGTAAGACTTTATCCTAGTTTTCAATCGTGGCATGATATTGTTCAAAATGTTAAAGCACACAAGCTTAACTTAGTTGATAAGATTGGAACTCTTCTAAGAGGATTTTGTACTGCAGCGAAGAATTTATACAGTGTGTTCCAAAACATTTTATCTTATATCGCGTTACATATTTTTATGAGGTAAACAAGGGCGTATTTAGACATAAATCAAGGGGGGGGGGCAAATTTGCACGAAGCGGCAAAAAAATATGAACTATTAATTCAAAACATTTGGCTTCTTGGAAATCAGGCATAAGTATAAAATACTTTAAAGGTACACATACAGTCTAATTTACCTTGCAAGTACTACTTTATCTCTCCTTTAATCAAAACAATCAAAACTAACAGAAAAACATGTTTCTAAAATATCGACATTTTATTATATATTCATGTTAGTATTTAAACTATAGAGATAGGAAAACACATTTTTAAACATGTAAAAAACTCAACTTAAACTTAAATTCTATGAGATGAAAAAAGGGCAAAGGTCCAGAAAATAATTATGACTTGTAAAAGTTTCTTTTGTGCAAAAAAAGAGAAGTACAATTGCAGTCTATATAATAAAGCTATTCGTTTATTTATATGAGTGATAGCTCTTAGTTGCCCCCCCCCTGTATACGCCATTGGAGGTAAACTGGTGCCCATTGATACTTTCCTTTATTTATCAAACTTCAACTCGATTATATTTGAAGTATAAATATACGAAGCCAAAACAAAGTGTTTTCAAACAACATCCTCGAGTAACATCCTCCATAAGTACAAGTAATATTTGTTATTTTCATTTTTATACTTTCAGTGCGGTACTAAACCAGACATGAACGGGAAGTTTTATGAGAACAACATCGTGATCCAATACGACAAGGACCTCATCGAGGTCTGGGACGAGGCTAAGAGGTTGAGGTGTGAGTGGTATAATGATTATGAGAAGGGGATTACAAAAGCTCCAATTCGAGTTTCTGATCTGGAGGTTGTTGAACTAAACTTCAGAGGTTAGAATGAACTTTTATAGAAAAATAAATGATTTTAGACTTTTCAGAATTTTCTTATAAAAAATTCAAATGATTTCAATTATTTTATAATTTTAAATCTCTATAAATCATTTAGATATATCAACTTCTGCGCACTTCCGAAAAGATAAATTATTTTTTGTTTCTTTTAAAAGTTGAAAACCAAAAAATGATATAGTCCATAAATAAGAAATTATCATTTTATCCCTATGTCCAATTACTTCTCTAATTTTCTGCAAACAATTTATTATAATCACTTTATACCAGATTGAATACGAATCTATGATGATAGAATTTGCTCTTAAAACTTTAAAAATGAATTTAAATATTTTTAGAAGAAATTTAGCAGAAAACATTGGATACGAATGTTCAAAATTACAGTTTATTAATGGTATTGTGCATTTGCTACAAACTGTGAATTTCAAATTTTTATATTTTTGTAACCCAAATGTCGTAGACCTTAGATATTTTAAACGTTCGATTCTTTTAGGTCGAATTATCTTAGTTTGACATATCAAAGGTCTGCAACATCAGGTTGCAAAGATATAGGGATTAGAAAATTTTAGTTCGCGGCAAATACTCAATTCCTTTAAGTTTTAAGAAATGTGGAATAGTTAAAGCGGAAAAAAAATCTTGATTCACATATAAAACTATAAGTTAAGTCGGAACTGTGTATTATATGTAAATCCTTTGTTTTTCAATTCTTTTATCAGTCTTAATCTTCTTAATCCAAGATTAGGGAGTCACTAACAATAGAATATTTACTTTTAAACGTATATTACTGGACAGCTGGAGTACAAGTACAATAGTCTTAAAAAATTACTTGCAAACTTTAGGTTCGTCAGAAAATTTTAAAGTTATAATACGTTTATGAGTCAAGATTTTAAGCCTTACAGTGCATTTATTGATTTATCATGACTAGAGAATTGAGTTTTTGCCACAATCTTTGATTTTCAAATTTCAATATCGTTGCAATCCAATGTCGTAGACCTTTAATATTTCAAACTATGAATGCTATTAGATCAAATAACGTAAGTTTGAAATATCAAAGGTTTACATCATCAGGTTGCAAAGATATAGGTTTTACAAAAACTGAATTTGTGGCAAAGACTCAATTCCTTTAACTTTTTAAAAAAGAATAAAACAATGTAAAATTACTGTTTAAGGTGAATATTCCTATATAGCTTTCACTTTTTAAACATATATTATAAACCTGCAGAAAATTAATAGATAAATAGGGTTATAAGAAAGTCCAAACTAAAAAAATCTTGTCATAAAAAATTAGGACAAAAAACCTCATTATTCGAGAAACAGTTGAATCAGTCTAATTGGTGGATAGAACCTCTAAACAAGAATACGAATTTCATAATTTCGAAGAATTTTGGAGAAATCTGAACAAAAGAACCCAAAGCATAGAGTTAGGAGAATATTCCCCCCCCCCCCCTCTGGCCATTTTAGAACTGGCAGATCATCAAGATTTATTCCATCACAGTACCATCCCTTTAGGGTTCCTTGTTCATATTATCCTTAACATTTGTATCCTTCTCTTTGATCTAATTGTTTAAAATATATTTAAAATGTTTAAGGAGACAATGTAGACTGTTGGATGGAGATCCAACATGGTAAGGGACCCTGGGCTAGTGCTGTTAGTGGTATAGTACCCTTGGGTACAACCCTAACTATGGTAGTTGGTATCAATGATAAACAAGGTAAAAACATTTTCCTTGGATTTAAAAAAAAGCTTAATTCTTGAGAATGCGTTGTTATTCTTTGGCTTTTAGTTTAAACCTAGTATAGAGATTAATTTATCAGTCGTTATTTTACATCTAATGAGTTTACCTATGCACAGATCGTATCCAATAATCCTTCTCTAGGATTGAGTCGTTAACTTAGATGCACAATTAGAGGTTTAAAAGTCAACAATGCTTTAAATGTTTCATGCTAACCATTCTTGCCATTTTAAATTTTGATACTGGATAGCTTGTTCTCAATCCCTTCCCATCTTTCATTCCCAGCTCTTAATATAAAATTATCTATACTGAAATAATAGGAAAACAACCTTAAACTCAGCTTTATGATTTACTGGTACGATAAACAATTGAAATCGTTACTATAATGATGTATTAAACTATTTCTGACTACTATACCATCCCTTTGGTACTGATTCTTTTAAAAGATATACTATAACACTATAACGGTAATTTTAAAGAACTCGAACCTATTCACTTGATTTTCTATTTTTTTCTTCTTAACTTACAAAGTTACATAAGTTATGCAAAACAACAGATATATTTGCCGAAAAAATGACGAAACGGAAATCTGGCATGAAATTAATATTTGTTAAAATATTTAATGTTATGGTTGAAAAATACTTTGTGTTATTTCCCATATAAATGTGTGCTGAGAGAAAGTATGAGAGAATAGGATGGTTTCTAACTTCTCTGCAACAAGATTTCTAAATCTGTCTGCACTCCTTCAATCTTTTAAACCACTGAACCCTGTAAACCTGGGAGCCACGAGATAATCCAAATCCAACTTCAATTTTGACTTCTAATCCAAGCTCAATATAAAACTTCTACATTTTTTAAGTTTGTGTGATGATTTAAATCTTTGAACTAAACAATTTTTATTCTCAAATATCTTTGATTAAAAAAAGTTTTAAAAGCTTTATTTCTTTAATTTTACAGTAAATAAATAACAATTGTGATTTTATGAAGTCAAAAACTTTCACAGAGGATTAACCTTTAAAATGATCAATTTCTAATATTTTTTTATTTATTTTAAAAAATTAAAAACCTTTGCACTACAATTAAAGAATAGTTTTTTTTTATCAAACGACATTAATAGCGTACTTTCTGCCAGCTATTTCTGATAAAATGTTTTCTTTCACATTTTTAATCTCTATCATTAGAGAATCCAGACCAATAATTAAAATGATACGACCGGTTCATTATATAAAATATCTTCAGTGTTACGAAATTCCATACTGGTTGCGCTGTAATTAGCGCAATATGTTTAAAATTTGATATTTATATGGTTGATTAAGTTCCCCCTCCAGAAACTTCTGAATAGTATAGGCTCTTTTCTAAATAAATCCTAATCTAGAACTCTGATACAGGATAAGATACATATTTAATTTATTCCTTTACTAGCTTGATTTCCCAGCGGTGCCCAGGTTTATTTTTTCATAGTCATAGTTTACCCGCGCTTGGTAAATAATGATTTTAGCTGAAGTGCCTGGTGCTGCTAATGTAATTCCAAAAATGTTCAATTATCCATTAAAAAAATGTCTGCCAATTTGGTCCAGCCGTTTGCGAAGAGCTTTGTTATATGAATATTAGCTCCCCCGTTTTTAAAAAAAAAACAACGTAAGTATTATATTCTATGAAATATTTATTTTACAGGAGAATTTGACATGCGTGTAAAATCCTGCTCTGCAGAATCTGAGAATTCTCGCGCAATTCAGCTCTCTGACGAGCATGGTTGCGTGCTCAGACCCAAGATGATCTCCAAGTTCATGAAGATCGCAGGAGCTGACACACGGGCATCCGTCATCACATACGCATTCTTCCACGCATTTAAGTTCCCCGACTCCATGTCAGTTCACGTTAAGTGCAAGGTAAACACTTTTATTATTTCATTCATGGTCATTAAATACGATATATTTTGGATAAGAACGAATTCAAATAATGCCTGTTATTAACCATTAGTACAAACTTTTTAAGTAGGATTGATATATTCAATTTAACTTTTATCATTACTTAATACTTCAGCGATTTTCTGTGGTACGTAGCTTTATATCAGTAGGCTCACGCATATTATTTTAGGTGGAGATTTGTAGGTTTGGTTGTCCGGATCATTGTCAGAAACCGAGCAGCTACAGATCACAGGAACAGGACGTATCTGCTTCCGTATCCAGTCCGTCCTATAAACCAGGACCAAGGTTTGAAGCACACAAAGCTGATAAAAGATCAGATAAACAAGAAAACCAGCTAAATGACGTATTTGATGAGTCTACAGTGAACCGACAGAATGATGCTCCTAGACGCTCCAATGAACCTCTCAAACTACTGAAAAGTACACCAAGTCGTCCCGAAGATGCCCCAAGACGATTAAATGATTCTCCCAAAAGACCGGAAGACTCTCCAAGAAGATTGGACGATATTGTTCCTCCTGTTAGGACTAGTCCGGATCCTAATCCCAGATATATGCCGAGAGCTGACCAACCAAACATACCTGAAACTAATAAACAATCCAATAGACAGAGCTTTCTAGGCCTCAAGCTTCCATCTCTTCCCAGTCTTCCAAACATTTTTGGAGACAAACGACAAGACAAAGAACCTTTCTTTCAGCGAAGACCAGAATCCGTACCAGTTCAGAGAACTGATGTCAACGAATTTCCTCAAGTGTATCCGTCCTCCTTCAACTCTGCCAATTCTCCAGTAGTAGAAGCTGCTCCGGCAGATATAAAGTTCCCACATGGTCCCAGAGGACTAAACCTGGAGAAGCGTGCGGCACGTCAGATTAGGTCTTCCGAGGATTTGGGAGTTACATCGGGATATCAAGTTATCTCTGAGGTAGACTTGGCATTTAAACCGAGCTTTGAGAACGGAATGGGAGTTGCCGTTTTCCAGGTATTAAAAAATGCAAAACTTTTCTATGCAACAAAGGAATTAAGGAATTGAGTCTTTTCCACAAACTCTGATTTTCTAATCTCTTTATCTTTGCAATCCCATGTCGTACACCTTAGATATGTCAAACTGTGATTTCTGTTAAATCAAATACTTTAAGTCCAACATCACAAAATATCTTGTTTTGATTGATTTCATATTAATTGTTTAACATTTTATCATATTTCTTTACTTAATGCCACTTCTTGCAAAATGGTGTTCTTTTTTTATCGAATGACAAATTTTATAATATTTTTAGGGTAAAATGCTCCCGGAGGAAGTTATCTATGGCGTATGTTTACCGGCTACTGGATTTTCTGCTATGTTCGTCCTGATATCTCTTCTCACGGTTATATCCGTCCTGATCTCCGGGTTCGTCTGCTATCACAGACAGATACAAAAACATGTTGAAGAGGGGGCTCCTACTGCTCAATCATCCAAACCTCGCTCATCCTCCTCAACCTCAACCGAAGTGACGGATTGGGGTTCAATATCATCTTTATTCCGGATGAACAAAGTTTAGAACTTTAGCTTAAAATAAAACAAATAATCCAAACTGAACGCAATACACTCTAAACCGACCAATATTTAATTTTATGTCAGAGGCTTAAATTTCTCTCTTGTGCCCCCCCCCCCCCGTCTATCCCTCCCGTCATCTAAGCAATCTCAATAAACCTTTAATAAAAGTTTCAACCCCTTTACCTTGTTGTTTTATACAACAGTAAACTTGTAAACATGATCTGAGCTTTTGTCCCATTATTCTACTTTTATTTTATATTTGCTATTGCTATGACTCAGCAAAACCATGTAATCTCTCAATACTAGCCAAGCTTTAAACAAAATAATATTTCATAGAAAACGCACCTCATAGTTAAAAAATGTAAATCAAATACAGAGTTAGGTTTGTAGTCAACCACTCATTAACTAGATGAACAGGTTTCTCTGCATCGAGTACGTATAAAATTTAAGTACTTTGTGTAAAATCTGGACTCCCCTTGTAACATATACATATAATAGCTCCAGATGGTAGTCGTTCAAACTTTCAAAACCATCTGGAGGAAAGCTGGTCTCAGCTCTAACATGCTGGAATACTACAACATTAAACACAAGTTTTAGTTTTGCATCATCTTTTTCAATTTACAAGAAACTTAAATTAGTATTATTGTAAACGTTGTATATTTTAATAATGATTCTGTATTATTTGGTTCAATGGATAACGTTTAATGGACCCCGGACTCATTTCCTGACATTTCCTGAAACTATTTTTCCGAGTAGTTGATCAATTTTACTGTGTAAACGATCTAAATTATTGTTCCTCTTGTTAATTTTATATATTTTCATATACATCGATTTAAAGCTTTCTGGTTTAAAAATTAATTTTTTGGATTAATAATTCAATATTTGGCGGGGTAATTGTACCTCAGATCTGATATTCTTTTCTGCGTATTTATCCATGTTTGGATTCTTAAACGCAGAAAAAGCTGAAACACAGCAAAAGTAAAGAATTATTTTTCTCACATTTTTTACGTTATTTACCTTTTACATTTGTTTTGTTCGATTTTTTCATAGGGTTTATTGTCTTCCACTGTGTGATTTTGTTGAATAGATATTGTTATTAATGTTATAGTTTTGATAAGTAAAGAATTTCACTTTCTATAGACATTTGTTACTGCATTTTGGGTCATTTACAGAGAAAGGAATTGAATCTTTGCGACAAACTTAATTTGTCTAATCCATACATCTTTTGCTGATGGTGTAAACCTTTAAAATGTTATACTTAGATTATTTGATCCAACATATCTAATATAAACTATTAGATATGTTGGATCAAATAATCTAAGGTCTACGACATTTGGTTGCAAAGTTATAAGGATTAGAAAATCAGAGTTTGTGAATCAATTCCTTTCCAGATAAAATGTATCATCCCAATACATACTTTAAGTGACATACGAAAATATTTTTTTTAAATCATTTTTTTTATAAAATAGAAGCATAATAAATGAATGGTTTAGCTCTATAGTTAATCTTATTTAGTAAAAATAACATTTGACCAAAAATGTTGAATCTAAGAAGTTAAAACCGATAATCACATTGATAAGTTTAGTTTCCGATCTGTTACGAAATATTTGCGCAAACGAACTGAACACTCTACCCCTACTTGACAAATTAAGTATGAGGAGAGTAATCATTTCCTTTTTGTTAATGGAAGTGATAGGAGAATAAACAAACGTTTAGAGAGAGAAACATTAAAAAGTTTTCTAATCCTTTATCTTTGATATCTGATGCCGTAAACCTTTGATATTTCAAAGTATGCTATGGTACAGGGTTACCCACAAAGGATGAGACTGTATAGACGACCCAAAACTATAAAAATATGACGATTTGAAGCTTTATTTTTGGTTTCTGCATTCAATTTAGTAATTTGATCTTATACTAAATGGTCAAGCACAGAAATATGCCAGTTTTGGCCTTTAAAGAACCCTGAATGCAAGAAAATGGACTAAAGAAATTCCGTACAATCGTCTCTGAAGTCTCATATTTTGCGGGTAACCCTGTGCATTATACAGTGAACATTAGCAATTTTTTTTTGGATTGAATTAAAGTCAGCTGGTCACATTTAAGCAAATATAAATTTAATCATGTTAATATGAACTTATTAAAAAATATATTTTATCACATTTTAGGACTATCATCATTTTAAACGTTAGTCTTGACAAACATTCATCCAAACATCTTAGCATGAAACGCTGATTGGTTGATTTTTATACTTCTTTTTTGGGGTATCGAATGCTCATTAAAATAATCTCAGGTTTCGTACAAACTTTAGAATGTGATATCCTTAATCCCGATCTGGTAATTTATCTGGAGATTAAATTGATGAGGAGAACAAGAAATATTTAATCTGGAGATTCAGAAAAAGAGTGGATCAAGCATTACTCCCGATATCCACCATTCTAAAGTTCCCAGCTCTGATTACATTATAGGTTGCAATAAAAAAGTAGGGGCTTTATTGAATATTCTTTGTAAACAAATTATTTTTTGAATTTCTAAAATATGACCGAAGGTTTGAAAAATTTGTTTCTATTTTCATTTTTTTGTGTAAGACGTGGTATTAGTTGAAGAGTTGAACTAATGTTGCTCTATTCTAGTCAGGAACCAGGGAAATGGCTGCCGCAGGATTCAAGAAATAGAAAAATTGAAATTCTCTTCCTTCTGTTCTTCTCTGCCTTTTATTGATTTTCCACTTCCTCCGGAAACTATTTTACCAAAAGTAAATTTTTTAGCTTTATTTGGTGAGCAAATCAAGAAATATTACTATTATCACTGTGTAGTCTTATGATTTGATAAAGGGCCGGTAATAATGATTCTTAGTTGCCTCCATTTCTAGCTTAAATATAGTTTATAGGTTTATTTTATATATACAATGTTGAAGAACATGTCATCGGTACCGGGACATCACATTGGAAGCTTATTATTAATAATAGACTATAATATGTCTTTCAAGCATGCTTCCAGTCCTCTCAAAAAACTTTCTGACTTAAATGGGCTGTGATCGTAATTTCAATTGACCCTCCAATCAAGTATTCAGAAATCTATATATATACTCTAGTCATACAAATATGTTTTTGAAAGGGAAATTTTATATTCTAGCATCCAAGAACTGAGATTGATTCCAGCTATAACAATAATAAAAACAAATATTGAATCTTGTTTTCCGTTCTTCCTTGTTTTACTAAGAGGAGTGTTCACGCATTTAAAAATGTGGGTTTCGGTTTTTTAGCATTCGGTACTATTTTATTTCAATTTCGCATTTCTTTACAGACTTTTATAACCCCCATTCAGAACCAAAATCAAAAACTTTATCCCGGAGCTTTATTAATAAATATTCATGCTAGACCAAACCATTTCTGTTTAAGTGGATTCAAAACTACTTTTTTGATTTCTCATGTTAGCTGAACAGAGGTGTTCAAGGAGCTTTACAACTCTTAGAAATAAATAAAATCATTTTATTGTAATTTGAGAACATGTACATATATGTATACTTATAGGATAACAATATTTCGTCTATTATCGCAGAATTTTGAATAAACACAGTGATTGTGAATCTTATATTTTTAGAACTTGTCCATACTCTATATTTAGCAGAAAAGGAAATGCATTTCATAACTCCATGAGGTTTTAGCAAAACGGGAAATGTTCACAAAATGTGACATATGATTAATGAGTATAAGGCATTTCACATTTAAAAGATTGAACATATTCCAACCCCCCGACAGTAAATATTAAAATAAAATCTTTTTAAATTTCAAAATTGAATAATTAATATAAAATAACACATCTTTTATAGTTGACTGGGAAACTTGAATGGGGAATTTGATAACATGTTTATGATTAATTTAGTATCAGTAACAAGAGCAACCTAGATAGGTCGTGTTCCTTCTTTAATCTTGAGACATATCAAATCTACAGTAAATATATATATATCTATATATATATATATATATATTATAGAATATAGTTGAAAAGTCGTAACCATTTTTTAAGTTCTTTAGCTCTTAAAATTTAGATAAAGAAATTGAGTCTTTGTCAAATACTCAAATTTTTGAATCCTTATATCTTTGGAACCAAATGATGTAAACGATTGATATTTCATACTTAGAATATTTGATCTCATATAATTCATAGCTTGAAGGTCTACGATATTGGGTGCAAAGATATATTCATCAGAAAATCAGAGTTTGTGTCAAAGACTCACTTCTTGATCTTTTTTGTAAAAAGATATCTGCATTTACAATTAACACACTTCTAATTTAAATTTGACCTTTGATGAATAAAGTTTTAAATTCAAATTTAAGATGAACTTTCCAAAATTTCATATATAGATGTAATCCCTAAATAAATGTGATGAATAAAAGACGAAAGATGATGGGCGGGGGGAGGGGTGATATGCTGATATTTATTAATGTTTAGTAAAATTAAAAATGTATGCATTATCCATTTTTGAGAGATTTCACAGATTTAAGGAGGGGATATAAGACTGTAAGGGATGGGGGGGGGGGCGTTAACCATTTCCCCTTTTTTATATCAGTTATATAGTTAGATTTTAATCTTGTCAAGTATTATCAGAAGGAACGCGTCAATTCTTAGATTTGAACAGAATTAAGATTTAATTTACTATTCATGTACATTATGTACAATGTACACTATACAGATCCACTAAAGGAAAAGCAAAAAGCTTTAAAGAGTTGAATTTTATAAATGTCAATAGAAATATTGAAGCGGATAATAGCACATAAGTTATAATAGGAATAACAACAAAACATGAGTAACATTAGTAACAGTTGACATGATACTGATAGCAGGGCTGGCAACATTGTGTTTTTATGTACATGGTACACGCTAGCATAATTATATACCTATAATATATCTTTTGGGGAAAAACTTAAGGCAATTATCAGCTAGAAAATTGTTTCTACATTCCTGCGAAACTGCTCTATTATCTGTGGGTTAAATATATGTATACTGTGAGCCGGGGGACGAAGCAATTTCAGAATAATGAAGACGACTTTGAATATCAAAGCTAAAACACAAACATATTCACTCCTAGATAAGGATTTAAAATTTTCAAGAGTGATTTGCGTCTGTTTAAAGGGAAGCAAAGACAATTTTATTAACCAAGGGTTTCATAGGCCAAATTGGTCGTCAAATAATTCTTAGACTGAAAAAGAGAGGTTTAACGATCCTCATAAAATCCAAATATGTTTGCGAAAAGTTTGACAATGCGGGGCATTTATTTACTGACGAAAGAAAAATCACGTGATTTAACAAACCCTGTTCGACAAAAAAAAATCTCGTTTTTTTAAAGTCGAAATAAATTCTGAAAGTTTTCGTTTACCCTTATCAGTATCAACTTTTTCTTTAGCACTTTATGCAAATTCAGGGGGGGATAAATATTTTCGCATATGTTTATATACAATTCAACCATAAATCTTTCATTTATGATTAAACTTCGCAATTAAAAAAATATTCTCGAGATAACTTGTTTTATGAATGATTTACTGGCTAGATATAGAATATAAAAATATGTGTAAATGTTGATGTGAACATGAATAACAGCTTCGTTATAAACATACAGTTTGAAGAGAAATATAGCACACACTTGTAATATTTGGACGCATCAACAACAACTATAAAATAGAAATTAATCAGTCTTTTTACACTCATTTTAAAGATATAAAATCACTAAAGTTTCGGTAAAAAGACTTCTCACACTTCCGTGCACTTGTAATGTGTCTTTTTAGGAAGTGTACTTGGAGTTGTAACTTGGACGGGTTCGAGTAAATTTCAGCTTAAACTATTCTTCTGATGGAAGGAAGGAGTGGAACCTAGGGGCGGGTAGTGAGGGGTTCGTCCCAGCTCCGTATAGGGCGGAGCTATACGTTCCTCGTCATCATGATAGGAATCACTTTTATGAGAGTCTGAGTAGTTTAGATTTGTTCTATGCTGCTCCGTGTAGGGTGGAGGAGTACGGGACTGAGAGAGAAGAACGGAGGGAACACCCAACCCACCCTTCTGCTGACAATCAACTGAGTTCTGAGACAGCACCTTTTTACTCTGAAGATGGTTCCCCGGAGAGGGGAAAGTGTTTATGTTGTTGGGTGTGTTTAGTTGGTATTGGGCTTGCTGCTGCTGCTGGGCTGAATGATGCCCCCAGGGATTTTGAGGACAAGATCTGGAGATCAAGCTTTTCAAATAAAAATAAAATAAAAATGTTCACAAAACTTTACATTTTTCATTCTATATCCAAATAACCTTTATCTTTAATTGAAACTTAACTTCCCCCATTTAAGTTTTGATCTTAAAAGTTTTTAGGACTCAAGGAGAAAAATATCTATCAGAAAAAATGTAGAAAAGTTGCCGGTATAACACACAATAAAAAAGAGGAAGCATTTAATGCTTCTCTTGAAAATTTTCAAATTTAAGATTGAGTTTGAAAATATTGATTCCTGCTGGATGAAATATGCCCTAGGACTGGTACATTCTCCGGCTCCTGATCAAACTTCTCTTTACACATACTCTGTCTAACCTGGTGGTGATAGAGCACTCTAAACAATAAAATATATTATCCATACCGTCTTCATCTCAGTAGATACTTCTGCAAACAAGTATAAAAGTATAATTATGAAAAAAAGATAGATATTTTCACTAATACATCATTAATTAGTAAATTAGATAAATAGAAAATAAAAAGTATTATATCATATTATGTATCATGTATTAATATTTTGTTATATATGAATAATTATACTGTATTTGAAATTTAAACCTGCAGATTCAATTTCCAAAAACTTAAACTTTGATTTGGCATCTTATTTCATCCTTTTGGTCAAAAATGTAAATAAGATTTTATTATTTGTAACTGATTAATTAAAAACATGTGACCTCTGAACATTTTTAGCAGTTTAAACACATACCAATTACATAATCCTCTGCAACATTTTTGGATAAACAAAGAACAAAGAAGGCAATCATTCAAATATTTTCTGGTTACCACTGTATTGTACATAGACTAAACCAAATATTTTCTGGTTACCACTGTATTGTACATAGACTAAACCAAATATTTTCTGGTTACCACTGTATTGTACATAGACTAAACCAAATATTTTCTGGTTACCACTGTATTGTACATATACTAAACCAAATATTTTCTGGTTACCACTGTATTGTACATAGACTAAACCAAATAAATAATCAAGTACAAAAGGTTTCAAGAGAGAAATGGACCAATTATACACGACGTCACAAATGTCAAACATAACAAGGAAAAGCGAAATTTTCATTTTTTCCAAGATTAAATGAAAAAGTATAAAAACAGAAAAAAGAACACATAAACTTGCACTTATTTTACTGTTAAGATGTGCTTTAGTCTAAAATTATAACTGTTATTAATAGTTTTTATCGTACACAAAAACTGAGTTGTTACTAATGACGTAAGAATAAAGATGTACTGAGAGTGTAAAAAGTATACGTTGCCATCTATCAAGAATTTATTTGGCCTTAAAAAGTGCATGTTTTATATAATGTATCTGAGTATAATTAATTAAAATTTATTGCTCTTATATTTAACATAATAATAATCACTGTGATTTTTCCAGGTTCAATTGTTGCATAAAACGGGAGTCGACTTTACACTGAGTAGCAACTGACCAGACTGGACAGGACGACTGAATGCATATACAATACGAACCGATCATTCATCTTATAGAGTGGTGTTCAATGGGTCGGAATTTTTATGATTTTGTTTACTGTCAATTTAAGGAAAGTTCATTAAAAATTAAATTTTCATCAGAAGTTCAAATAACTTGGCAATAAAACAAAATAAATTGAAAAATAAATCTATTAAAATGTATTGTTATACACACTTAATTCACCGCAATCAGACTATTATTCTATTAAGCAAAGCGATACCGTAATATAAATATATTAAGCTGATTCATTCTTGATAAAATATATTTGCATATTCGAATACAACAACTAAAATATAATTTTACCAGGGAAAAATTGATTAAAGAAACCGATTCATCCCTTAAACGAAAATCTATTATCCTCTGATCTTTACAACATTAAGCCGTTGACTTTTAATATTTTAAACTATAAAATTTTGCAAGATAAAATTAAAGGTTGCGAAGATATATTTGAATAATCTCAAAAATATGAAAAATTAAACGACATGAAGCGTTGTGGATATGTTTGGAGCTCGATTTATTCAATGTTTATTCGATATCCCGTCGTAACCTACAGATATAACTGAAATACAGAGATCACGCATTGATCTTCACACTAAAAGTGCCCAATATGGATATCAATATCAAGAATTCTGGGCTATGAGTATCCAGCACAAAAGTTGCCAACTCTAGTGTTATTGTGCATAGCTATGGTATGCCTTGATGTAATTCTTGTATGCCTGTATATAGTGTATATCTGGTAAGTGTATCTGGTAGAAGGTCAAGTGTATGCCTGTATATAGTGTATATCTGGTAAGTGTATCTGGTAGAAGGTCAAGTGTATGCCTGTATATAGTGTATATCTGGTAAGTGTATCTGGTAGAAGATCAAGTGTATGCCTGTATATAGTGTATACCTGGTAAGTGTATCTGGTAGGAGATCAAGTGTAACTTGAATATTAGCAATCTTATCCTCCAGTGTAGCTAAACGTTCATCCATAATATCCTGCCGAGAACTCACATCACTCACTATCTCGTAGACTGAGTTCTGGGTCTAAAATATAAAAAAGTTGGAGTGTTTTGGATTTTTAATATGTGACCAGAGCTGAACACTTGGATATCGAGATTAATTCTTGATCTCCTCTTTTCTTAATATCGAGACTAACCTAATCTTTTACTTGTATCCTGAAAAGTGTAGAAAATTCAACCAATCAGAGTCGCATATATATGAAGCCGATAAATTTAAAATTTCTAGCGCCATTTAAGATTAAAACACAGAAACGGGAGGGACTTTCTAATTTAAAAAAAAGGGTTTTTATTTCTCTCTACTATATCCAAATAAGAACGGGTAAAAAAGAAAAACAAAAGTGAGTCCAATGGATTTTCAGATTAAGTAATCGGGATTAAGGATATCTCATTCTAAAGTTTTCAGCTCAGATTGATTTGATTTTCTCATACTTGGACATAAAAATTAAAACTAGAGCAGCTTCGAGGTTCTAGAGTCCTACCAATAATCTCGCATACATTTAACTATCTCCTACTGCTTAGTTCACATTGCTAAGTCATGTCAAATACAAGAATAAGTTCAATATTGATTAAATAAACTGAACATTTACTAGATACACATTGTTCAAAAACCATTGCATACATATAGAGTTGGATTATCGGAATGTAAACAAAAATATTGTCAAAATATATAATAAAATAATTTAATTATTTCTAGGATAAGAGTGGTTTCAAATTAATGATATTCAGATGGTTCTCTTAAAATCTTATTATTTCCTGTCAATGTAATAATTTCGTAAAGTATCCCTTTAAAAAGAAGCCTAGAGTAAAATATTTATAACCTTTGCCATATCCGTGATTGTGTTTGCATTGTCCATCAGCTTTCTTTGGTCCATCTTCACTTTCCGGAGCCTGGAGTATTTGTTTATAATATGAAGAAACGTACAATATAGTTATAGATTTATATCTATATGATAAAACAAGACATTCGTATATATATAATATATGTTGCCTATAGCCGGCCAAATACCTGGACCGATTTGGCTGAAATTTATGTGGACACGAATGGGAGTAACGACTATATGGAATTCGAAAAAAAATCAATTTTTTTTTACATTAAATTTCATGGGCAACGCCGGGCCCTTCAGCTAGTATTATATATATAAATATATATTTCAGGTATTTTACTATCATGATATATAAATGAATATGTCATTAAAACTATATTTTATCATCTTGTTAGACAAATGGCGTCTTAAGATTGGAAATAAGTTTTCTCAGTTTTTAAACTTTTGAATTTTCATCTCTCATGGTATGTATTAGACTCAGAAGAAAAAGGTTTTTAAAATTAGAAAATCTTGGATCAATGTCTAGCAAATATCGGAATCAGATTTGATTAGCTCTTAGATTTAGGAAATAAACACAAGACTTTAATTTCCTTAGTTTTAACACGCAATCAAGAGAAAAAGAGGAAGAATAGAAATCTGAAACCTTCAGGGTTGGCTCACTAAGGAGATCTCAGATTCCATATTCTCTAGATCCAACGGGAAATTATCTTCTCTAGTTCAGAGAACGAAATTAAAACTTGTGACTTCAGCCGGTTCAATCTTAGACTTTAAATACCTCTTCATTTCTTTCAGAGGTAAATATTCATCATTGTTGCAATAGAGGGACAATTTTTTATAATTTAAGGCGTTAAAGGGACAAAGCTGGTAACTTTAGAATGTGATACCTTTAATCCCGACTGCTTAATCCGAATATTCTATGTAAACACTTTATATTTCTTGCTTAATCCACTCTTTTTTTGGATATAGTTCAGAAAAATCAAAAAACGGGTTTTCAAAATTCTGTATGTCAATCTTAAATGGCGCGCAAAATTTAAAATTTCTCGACTTCTGATACGCGACTCTGATTAGTTGAATTTTATACACTTTTCAGGATACAAGTACAAGATTAGGTTAGTCTCGAGGCTAAGAAAAAAGAGAAGATCAAGCGTTGATCTCGATATCTACCATTCTAAAGTTCCCAGTTGAGAAGGCTTAATTTCAAGTTCATCTCATTTGTAGAGTGGCCTTTTCGAATTTTTATAAGGTATAAGGAAAACATCTTTATATGCCATCTTTATATGAAGGGTCACTTGAAATTACTCTTACAGTCCGTTTATAACCCCTCAGCTTACAAGTTTACTCAGTGGATATGATTATGCAGAAGTTTAGTCGCAGAAGCTAAGCGCGAGTTTCGTCCTAAGGGAAGTAAGGAATAAAGGATAAATGGTTCATCGGTTCAGGGGAGGGAATAAGTTCAAATTTTATTTCAAATGAATATATAATTCCCTGCGAAAGAATTAATTTTAAAAGGAAAGTTTACAGATTATTGATTTAAAAAATGCACATTTTTACATTCTAAAACGTCTAAAAGCTATCATTGAAAAGCAAATATTGTAAAAAAATGTAAATTTTTTTACATTTTTATTTCTTAACATGGAGTGGTCGCTTGAAGAAATATGAAATACTGCAAAATGTAGCCAACTGCAAACAATTGCTGAACTAGATTTAAATTGTCAGCATTTTAAAATCTATAATCTATACAATTTGTGCATGAGGCCCTTTACTTTAAGACTGCAGGTTAACTTACGCGTATATGGCGAGTAGGAACTTTCTCTGATGTGTTCTGACCCTACTGGAGACAACACGTTTCACTAGCTAACCATGCAGGTCAGATTTATAACCGGGGACAGAAAGGAATATCATGTTAGTTTCATGGAAGAATACCAAATATTATTCCAAATTATGTAATGTATGGTTAAATTATTTCGAATTGTTACTTAAAAGTTATCGTAAACATACTCCTCACTGTGAACTCAGGTTCATTTTAAGTACCGGACAGACTTCTAGGCAGCCAAAGCAAGTTGTATACAGTATTTACGCAGACTATAAAAGGCAAAACAGAAAAGTGACCAAATTAATCATCCCCTTAGAGTAAGATAAAAAATAAAGTTCTAAAGTTTAACTCTTAATCCCAGACAATACTCCTAGATCCTAGATAAGATTTCAAAATTAAAGAAAATATTCAATCCTAGATCCTAATTAGATTCCTAGATCCTAGATAATATTACTAGATCCTAGATAATATTCCTAAATCCCAGGTAATATTCATAGCTCCTAAATTATATATTTTGAGATCCAAGATAATATTCATATATCCTAGATAATATTCCTAGATCCTGGGTAATATTCGTAGATATTTTTTCCTAGTTCCTAAATGGTTTTCATGGATATTATTCCTAATGTTATATATAAGTATTTCTAGATCCTAGTTAATATTTATAGATAATGTGCATAGTTCCTAGATAGTTATACCTGGATAGCATACCATAAAATATCATTTCTAGATCCTAAAAAAAATATTTAAAAATCCTAGATCGTTAATAATAATCTCATATATCATTCCTAGATTCAAGATATTATTCCTAGATCCAAGATATTATTCCTAGATTCAAGATATTATTCCTAGATTCCAAGATATTTTCCCTAGATTCAAGATATTATTCCTAGATCCAAGATATTATCCCTAGATCCAAGATATTATTCCTAGATCCAATATATTATTCCTAGATCCAATATATTATTCCTAGATCCAAGATATTAACCCTAGATTCAAGATATTATTCCTAGATCCAAGAAATTATTCCTAGATCCAATATAGTATTCCTAGATCCAAGATATTAACCCAAGATTCAAGATATTATCCCTAGATCCAAGATAATATTCCTAGATACAAGATATTATTTCTAGATCCAAGATATTATTCCTAGATCCAAGATAGTATTCCTAGATCCAAGATATTATTCCTAGATCCAAGATATTATTCCTAGATACTATTCCTAAATATTATGATAATATCCTGAATATGTTCTTAGATCACATTCTAGACGAAATCCTAAATAATCTTCTTGACATTACTGAAGAAGATATATCAAATATGTATTATTCTAGATAATATTCTAAATAACAATCTATATATTCTCTAGATGAAATTGAAGATGAAAATATAGGTGATGATATACATAAATATTCTATTCAATATTCTAGATGAAATGTTCTTTGATCGTATTTCTGCAAACTAGAAAGTATCTAGAATATATTTCCAGTGTATACATTTATCTGTACAACGCTAGAAAGTGTCAGGTTTATGTTTATGTTATTTCTTCAGATTTATTTGTTTAGTTTGCGTAGAATTCTTGAAACAACTTACAACATGATAAATAGAAAAAATTAATATTTAAACCTGAAACTGAGAAAAAATGCCGAGTTACGAATGCAAGATCCAAAATTGTATCGATTGAGGAATACAAAAAATTTTAGAATTTAAAATCGATACATGAAAGACAGAGAATGATAATTTAGACAGTTCAAGGTTGGACAACTTGAGAATGTTATTTCCTCTCTGTAGAAGTTTCATCAATAGAAAAGATTCAACAAAGTAAATGTTTTAATCAAAAAGTTTTCATATCACGGCTTTTATCACAGATACAAAATCGTAAAGGATGATAAATAACACATGTACATACAGGGTTAAACACAAAAAATGAGACTGTAAAGATGACTTGAAACTCTTAAAATATGACAATCCTAAGTATAGATTAAGTCTTAGCTACCTTGAATGTGGTCTTTTAATGGTTTAGTTAATGATTTGACAAAGAAAGCTTAGAAATTTACAGTTGCATGGAATCTTGTATATAAGGAAACAGACAGTATAAAATTCGTGCAGCTTCGTTTCTGAAGTCTTATTCTTTGTGGATAACCCTGTACAAAATAGTGTACATTATGCATACAGGGTGTCCTTACATCAAATTAGAATGCGTCAATGGGTCTAAATTACGATTTGGGGGACAAAACAGAAGAATGAATCATTTTGAAAAATTGAATAAGGCTAATAGAAATTTTTTTTGCAGAAAATTTATATTTATTGTATCCTTTTTTTAAAGGATATTTTCTGTAAACAATAGAACTGTACACTCGCCTCATACTCTAATTTTCTAACCCTTGTATCTTTGCATCCTGAGGTCGATCTTTTGAGTGAGTTAGCGCACAACGCTAAAACGCTCAAACTCGGTTTCCCATGTAGTAGCAACTTTAAAATGTGATTGATCCCACAATTTCAGTTATCTCTGTTGGGATAAAAAAATTGCTTAATTCTTTAAATGACATAAGATAAGGATAGCTGCTTGCTTTAGGCCTGGATTAAAAACATTACAGTTTTGAGTAAACCTTTAATATTTCAAACTTTTAGCTATTTGATCCACAACAAAATGTTACAGCTTGAAATATCAATTATCAAAGATCTACAAGCTCAGGTTGGAAACATATCAGGATTAGAAAATCAGAGTAAGAATGAATTGAAAAATCGGTCTCTTTCTCTGCACAAAATGTTAACGGATTTAGGGTATTCAACAAATATGTTTAATAAATAAAAACACAAAAATTAGTTTAAACTTAATCTAAAAATATGAACGTGAACCATCCCTGAAATCATTTAAACATTTGTTAGAATCTCTCAAGAAGGGGCTGATTTATTTCTTGAGATGTCCCGTTTTGCCTTAAATAGTTTTTATGTGTACTGTATAGCTTGCTCTAGCTTTTTAAAGGTAGGTACGAACTTGAAATGAACAAGGGTTTAGGGTGCAGTAGGATTGCGAGTATAATATAAGAAAAACCGGTTTTAAATATGTTCCTTGGTATGTTTATAGATCAACCAGGTCTCACGCAGTACGTTAGCAGCAGCATTTTTCAACTAAAAAAAAATTCCAATATTTTAGATAATTTCAACAATTTCTCTATATTCTTTATTTGATAAACGCAAAAATTGTGCAGTTATGTTTGTTTGTTTGTTTGTTTTTCTGNCCCCCCCGACAAAAAGAAAACTTCCCAACGGCCAGACGGAAATTTCACGCCAATTTTCAGTCACAAATCTTATAACTTTGACAGTAAGTTGCAGTAAAACAATAAACTTCAGATTTTCCAATAAAAATACAATAGTATACGATTGGATTTCTTATCCCTCGAAATTGTATTTAACAAGTTTTATTTAAAATTTACTCGTTTTGTGAGTTGTGTATCCATCATGAAGTTATGAACATGTTTCTCTGCTCTGGTCAGCTCAAGCTTTCGGGATACAACAGCTACCAGTAGAGCAGTACACCCAGCACCCTAATAATAATAAAAATTCACAAATAGTACTATGCAAATACTTAAAAATTAAATCAACTATGACCGGTACAAAGTTATCGCTAATCCTTGATGGAATCTTGAAGATAATCCAATTTTAAAATTGGACATGAAATTATGGTTTTTGTCTAACATATGTAATTTATCCTCTTAAAGGCCTTTGTGATACTTAAGTATAGACTGTTAGACTGTGCACAATATGTATAAATATAAAAATGAACTGATGGATATGTACGGCGACATATTTTTCTCTTAAAGCTGTAGCTTAGACGGTTCTTGTCGGTTTAACTTTATACACTTAAATTCTTTAAAATAAAAGTGTAAAATGTGAAAATCGAATTCAGTCGCGTGCCAAAACCAAGCGCTATTCATAAAAAATCACCTTCAGTATACACTGTACACTGTAAGAGTAAGGAGAATATTAGAATATGTTATTTTGCACATTTTCTATTTGCATATGAAAGGTTTTAAAGTTTCTAATATAGAATAAGGTTTAGCTCAAATCTTTTGTTAAACTTCAACTTTTTAGATAAAAAGAGATAAACCAGAAAGTTTAAAAATATATTTTCCACGCAGGCAACCAGCATTAAGTAATTTTGGGGGGAAAAAATATCCAAACTTGTTGTGTGAAGCTCCATCACACGAATGTTTTTCTGAAGAGAATCAGAAATTCAAAAGCTTTCTTTACAAAATTATGGAAAATCCACCGATGAGAACAGAAAAAGGAATTGAGTCTTTGCCACAAACTCTGCTTTTTAAAACACTATCTTTGGATTTCAATGTCGTAGACCTTAGATATTTCAAACTATGAATTCTGTTAGATCAAATAATGTAAGTTTGAAATATCAAAGATTTGCGACATTGGGTTCCCAAGATATAGGGATTTTAAATTCAGAGTTTATGGCAAAGACTCAATTCCTTTGCGAAATCGGAATTTGGTGTTGATTAAAAACTAAATTGTTTGTGAAAAATATTACAATTTGTTAATAATAAATTAATCAAGAAATTATGAAAGTCCTACCTTCCTTTCTTTATACACTAAAAGGCATTATACCTGCCCCGGTATAGAAAATATAGATATGGAGTTTGTATTTGAATAAATATTTTTGTATCTTTATAAGTTCTTTATCCTTCAGCGTCTTCCTTTAACCCTTACCATCATTCCCGTTGTAACAGCTATACCCCGTCCACAGTAGGTATTAGGAACTATATCTCCGTATCCAACACTTAGGAACGTGATGGCGATTAACCACATCGTGTTCAGCAGGTTCGCATGCTCCTCATCATGATACCTGTACAGGTATATATATATATATATATATATATATAAAGTAGTAATCTCTGTTTGTTTGTTTGTAAGTCCGAACATAACTCATGATTCATAAACCCCTTGAATGATTTACCTCAAATTTTGATTGGGGAACTTTTTTAGAGAAACCACAAATGAGAATAATCAGTTTTCAAAATTATAAACATTGACATCATAATTCATACTTGATCAGACAAAGCTTTTATAAGGGCACCGTTGTGACGATAGAAAAGATAAGATGGAAATCATTAAAGCCTTTTCAAGTTTTTATTTCCTATTATATAGTGTTAGAGTAGCCCTGTTATTTTAAATCGAAAAGGTTTTATATAATATCTCAGTCTCAGGATATACACAGTAAATCACTGTGTCTGGGGATTTTAAAAAAGTGGTTCATATCTGGAAGGATAAATACGACCCTTTGCAGATAAAGAGGGGTAAGTGAATAGAACTAATTACTTGATGTTATAGACACTGCCTTTATTTAATTTAATTGAAATCACGCAAACAATTAAATGTTCAAATAAACTCCTCTTTAAAGATTTGAAATTAAAATTTTTCAATTTTTATCACTTATTTTATATACAGGATCAGATAAAGTCATTTTTGGGTTAAGTTCTGCAAACATTGTTAAATACATTTTTCCAACATGCTCTAAGCTTCTTAAAGAAAGTTAAGATAAAAAATAAATAAGTTGAAAAAAATTGGATTAATTAAATCAGTATTTTTCTTATTCATCATATCTTTATTAAATTTAATTATTTTCTTGCATGAATATAATTTTTCCCTCTCATCGTAACCATGTTTTAAAAAGTCAGAAAAGAAGAAGAAAAATAGAGTTAGATCTAAATAAGAGGATTCTTAGAAAAACATGAAATTTTACGGAAACATGAGTGGATATAGGAGTTTTTCTGGGGGTAAGCGAACTCAGAATTTTCTCTCCATTTTCCAGCCAAGACTCAGTCCTGGTATCCGTCCTTGTACGGGAATTATAACGTGAACTTAAAATCCCAAATAGCAAATTAAATTACCTTTCACACTGGCGGAGTGTCCAGCTGGCAATGATCCAGAGTGTGACCATGAAGACGAGGAGAACTGTGCCCGGGCAAATGGTCATCAGAGTCTTCAGAACAAACCTTGTGTTGAAATTGATCCTGGAAAAAAACAAAATATTTCTCGTCTTAATTAATCTCGATTAATTGATGTGCATGTCAATGGAGTCAACTTGATTAATCGAAGTGGAGGGGGTGGTGGGGAGAAGGGTTTAAAAAAATGGATAATATTTTAGAAAGAAGTATTAAAAGGAATAGGGAAAGAAGTAGTGGGGTTCATATAAAATATTTATGCAGTTTATGTGACATAAAATGTCAACTTTAACCAGAGAATGGAAAAATGGCATCTTACATTCATGCTTGGAATACAAGGCTTCAATTAATAACCCCCTGCCATACACTACATCATTTAGATGGGGGGGGGGGGGGGAAATACGGAATCAATATATTTTTTTAATTATTCAAACCATTAAACTCCGATAAATAGTACATGTATTAAATTTTACAAAACATCAAGTAGTTCTTATGGAAAAGAATTTGTTCCAGAAATGTTGAATATCTTGGAATTCTGGTGAAAGTAATGTTAAATTCTTGATATTTAGATTTACACTAAAGAAGTACTAAGTAATACTTAGTACTTAAGATAGATAGATATACTAGCGAACTATTCTAATTTTTGCAAGGTTAGCTGGAGATTTAAAATTTTAACAAAATCTTAATGAAATATGGATATATATTTTCTAAATATTGAACATTTCCTCTGAAAAATAAAGCTTGAAAAAGAGTATTTTCGAGAGAAGTCCCGCGAGAAAGAGCAATATAAATCGATTCAGATTTATTTTCAGACTGAAAAATATTTTCCTGTTTAGGGCTCCGATACTTCTAGAACTAGCATCAGTGAACAGCTTACTGTGGAGCAACATCACCCTAGAAAATATATTTACAGTTAAACTAGAAAACTCTGGAATAGAAAGACGACTTTTAGACACAAGTTTTGATTTAAAATAGTTCGATGAATATGAGAAACAGCAACTTTACAGTACAATCAGACCCATTTCACTTAATAAATGACTTGTTCAACAATTTGGTCCATAAAAAACAAATACATTATTTTTCAACTTTTTTAACAATTTTTTTAAAATTTTTTTAAAAAGACGATTACAAAATTGTACAACATTATTTTAATATCATTACATCAGTCTAATTTTTCCCCCTTTGGGATACATTTAAATATTGCTTAAATGACGTATTTCTATTCCTGGACAGTTTTCTGGTTCTAACTGTATCCATATTGTAAGAAATCAAAGCTTGTGTTTTTTTATGTAATCAAATAGCTGAAAAAATAGATGGAAAACATTAAATGGCAAAGTTGTACACCGCCAACAAATATTCCACAACTGAAGAGGTTAAAAACTGCAGTCATGTCATCATCAAATAAAATAACTAACAGAGATTTTGCAACTGTTGACAATTTAAGCTCTATTAAAAAACAATTTTAAGATTACATTCAGGAAAAGTTTTTTTTAAATCTCCGCCAGTATTTTAATGACGAAAAATAAAGCAGACAATATTTTGACAATCCCAAGTTTTATTAAATACCAAGTTTTATAAAATCCCAAGTTTTATTAAATCCCAAGTTTTAGTAAATCCCAAGTTTTAGTAAAAAGAAACGTGATGATTGTCATCTTCCCTTTTACTTTTAGTTATAAATAGTTTCCCACTAACATTTTTCAGATATATAACTGTTACAAATTAGACCATTCATTTACCATTTTGTAGAAGCAGCAATAGGTAAGAATGACTGTACACTACATATCAAGTATTACTATTTTATAAAGAAATTAAAATCCAAGGAAAATATTTTACTAATTCTGATAATACATGGACATTGGACAGTACATTTTGAAGAACTCATATTATTAAAGAGGTAATTCACCTAGATATGAAAATACAATGTAACAGTAAGAACAAATTTTAAAGATTGGGAAACTGTAGACAAACGCAATTTGAAGGAATTTTATGCTACTCTTTATTTACAGAGTGGCATGTCCATTGTCCAACGGTACCCATACAACGGTACCCATACAAGCTTTGTCTTATCAATAATTAATTTGATATCTCCCACATTATTGATCAAAGGATCAAATGGTGTCGTTTTGAATCAGGCATGGACCTCTTTAAATATAGGGTCACTTTACATCACATTTACAGTCCTTGTTCAATATAGGTTTATTTATTGAATTATTTATCTACTGCCAACCGATAAATATAACTATTGTTATTCAATAGTCGATATTTTATACTTTTATTCAATGACGTTAGTGGAAGATAAATATTCTTTTCGGTTGTTTCCAGATTATTTTTTGGCTATAACAAATCGCTCTAATTCCAAGAAGACCTGACTAGCTGAATTCTAACAGACGACTTTACAGACTTCACTCAATGTTTTTTAAATAAAAGATATGTATTTCTGTATTTACAAGAGAAGCCTGTAAACTAAGTTTTTTAATCTATTTTTCACATCATTTAATGATTAGTGGGAAGTAGCTGAACTTAGTTAAACTAAGCTTAGGTAGTTCAACTACTTCTCGCCAAGGTAGGTCACGCCATAAGAAAATTTGTTTACCCAGAATACACCAAATTCCGTAATTTACAATGAATTCATTTTCGGTGGCTGTATATTGGTTGTCTGCAAATAAACGCAACCGAAACTGGACTTGAAACGAAACATAAAATTGAACCCAGTATTTTATGATAAGGAATAAACGGACAAACAAATAGACAATAAATGGAAATAAAGTTAATAGATCTTCTCTAAACAGAATAGAGCTCCACCACCCATTAACTGCTCTCTTTGCCCGGCCTGTTCCCCCAACCACCACTGCAGATTTTGTTTTGACAGTGGCCTAATTAGATTGTTTGTAAACAGACTGGCAAACCAGTTTTTAGCCACCGAAACCGAGTTCCAGAATAAATGTGTGTACAGTAAATAAATTCTCCTATGGCCTACCGTTGTGTCTCGCTATATATTCAATCTATTCCTTAGTCTCATCCTTTGTAAAGAACTCTTTTATAAGAAATATGTTTTTGGTAAAATATAACATTTTTTCTGTAATTAGTTGAATGAACTTATTATCAAATGTTTATACAGTTAGATAAGTACTTATTTTTGATGGAAAACTTTTAATAAAAGTTATTATTATCCTTCAACAGGAAAAAAGTTTTGTTATAAAAAGTGGGGGGGTCGGGAAACTTAGTAGAAGTGTAGACAATAAGATGGTTAGCGTGTCAGGCAATTAGAAGGAGCAATGGCATGAAAGCTACATAAATAAGGGGGAAATGGAAATATAGATATAAAATCAGGGGCGTAAGAGAGCATTTGTGTAAGGGGGGCAACAGTTAGCCCCTCCCCCCCTCTTAAAAACACCTTTTTTGAAAAAATATTGATAACTTTTTAACTATGTGCACTATTCGATCACATACACACTTCCATAGTCAAGTGTTAATAAATTATTTATTTAATTTTCTTAAATGGACTCATCAGACACTTCCTTTTATACTGTGGTGTAAGCTTCAATGGGTGAAAAATAGAGATGGAAACGTTTCTTTAAGAAAATCTATATTTTCATAGAAACGATTCATATTGTATGATTATAAATAATGATATCAAAGATATATATATTTACACTGAAAGCAGTATTGATTAAAGCTTTTTCAATGAAACTTTTTTAGTTAACGGCAAAAGTGAGATTTTAAAGGATAGTTATATGGGTGCCGCCCCCCTACCCCCCCTCAGGGGGGTGGGCACGCGTAGAGGGGGTCCGGCCTCGTACGCCCCTGTTTAAAATCATTATGGAAATACAAATTTGAAGAAAAAAAAGAAGGAGTAAAAGAAAAATAATACAGACATGTAACAACAGGAGAACATCGATAATTATCGATTGATTTTTGGTTGCCAAAATGTTGTTTTGTGTTCCTATAAATCATGATTTTAGCAACTATGTTTATAGCAATCAAGTTTCAAGANCTTGGCCTGAAACGTTGCTAGTTCGAAACCTGGAAACGACACGACTAAACCGATTTAAAGAAAAGTTCAAGTATCCTCTAAATCGAGTGTCTTGGAAAGTTTGAGAGAGAACATTTATTCAAAGAAAAATTTTCACGGATTTTTTAAAACTCAAAAGAAAACCTTGTTTTCACATTAACTGAAAAATAAGCAAAAAAAATAGAATGCATTGTTTTATTTAAAACGCATGAAAAAAGATACTCTATGCGGTTTCAGGGGGGCACCCCCACCCCCGAGTGAATTTAGGGGGGGGTGTACCACCCCTGGATTTTTTCAAAGTCATTATTCCGAAGGCTTTTGACCTGGAACAGAACATCAATGACCACCGACAGGTTGGTCAAGCTGGAAAGAATGGCGATGCACCCAAAGTGACTTGCCTCAATTTCGGACAATAGTGTTTTAAATGCCTTTATTTCAAGCGGTCCAAGAAAATTAAATTATCGTAGATCGGAAGAAGGGAGGATATTTTTATTTTCAATTTTTTTTATTTTGAACAAAAATTCCTTTTTTATTTTTATGGTATACTTTTATTTTCAACTTTAAAGATAAACTTGCAGTCCTTGCAGTCTCCTGCACGATTTCAGAAGCATTATTTAGATACTAAAAGATCAATAAAAATAGCAGGAAATAAAAAATAATTCTCCCGTCATTAGAATAATATGATATGATATGTATAATGTTTATGTATAAGTTCAATCAATAATATTTTTTCATATCGTTATTCGAAAAATAAATGGATTTTTACAACATTTGCCTAACATATACTGTAACTGTAATTTTAGTGTTAGGTGGGTAAATAGAGGGGAATGGGGGGAATTTTTTTTATAAGATTACAGGGGGTAAAATATTTTTAACCCCCCCCCCCTCCTATCTTAAATCCTGACGCCGCCCTTGAAGATATTCATTATATATTGTTTATCATAACATTCTAAATATATTTATCTTTAATAATTATCTTATAGATATTAACCTGCAGATTAGGTAGAGACGCAAAAACATCGGCAGAGACAGAGTAACATCAACTGGAACCCACTGTAGTAAAAAAGGATTAATAAAATGAGTAATTATGTGCTCAATATGCAGGATAACCGGACACGTTTTTGTAATAATGATTAATAAAAAATGTATCTCCCAAGCCTATAAATTGGAATAGAATAGTATGTATACTGTGATCTTGCCAAGCTACATTTGTAGCATCAAACGTGCTGGGTCGATTCTTCACTTGGTATCTAGACTTAGCTGTTATACTGAATACATATATAGTACATTGCTGTACCATCTCGAATCATGCTATTCTGTTTGAGTAGGGGGATATGTACTGTGTATAGAAGTAGGTATGCAATACTTAACATGCATGGTACAGGGTGTCCCAATAAACATGGGAATTAAGAGACGAATGCGAAGTCGTCTTTGCAAAGAATTAGTGTTGTGTTACCTAATTTCAACGGTCAAAATAAAGTTACGTCTGCTAAAATATATTTTACTAGCCTTAGAGGGCGCTTCGCGCCCATCTTCTAAATTAATTGTGAACATGTTCTCTTTGTGTACATCGTAAAACAAAACAAAAATAATTCGCGGATTTTCACAAAAAATTTCGCGGATTTTCAAAATTTTTAAAAAATTAATGACGATTGAATTTTGATGGAGACAAATATTTGAAATTTTGATTTTTCTTAACCCTTCCCTGGGGTCCCTAGATGTCCCACAAAAAATTTGGGCCCGATCGGTTCAGCCGTTTTGACGTTTATTGGATACAAACAAACAAACAGACAAACAAACAAACAAACAGACAAGCCAAATTTATATATAGATGTAAACGGTAAAATGACTGTTTCATTATTCTTCAAAACGTTGTATGATGTTCTGTAACATTTCTGCAAGATAAACAGTGAAGAGAGACAACTTGTGCTGTGTTTGTATACACGATTTTCTTTTATTTTTAAGTACACCAGTATGCTATAAAAACATAAACAAACAATTTCTGAACTCTAGCAGAATTAATAGCTTTTATAGTAGGTATCACTATACTAAATCAAAAAATCATTTACAAAGACGATAAAATCATCGCTGAATTCCCATGTTTATTGGGACCTATAGCCATCTGAGGAATAAGCCACCTGTTATATGTTACTTACCATGGGGTGAAACAAAACATTTTAGATACAGCTCACAAAGTGTTAAGGTTTGGCGGCCAAAAGTTAAAGATTCTACGACCCTTTTCGCAAAAATTAAATGTTTGATATTTCATTATGCATGCAATAAAAGCTAGAGAACATTTTTCAGTAAATTGGAAAAAAACTTGTTGGACTACTTATGAATGTAAACGAAGAGAAAAAACTAGGAATCAAAATAATTTGAATGGGATACAAGTTTGTAAGATTTCTACTTACGAAGACAAACCAAACTCCCCAAACTCCTAAGTGCTTATGGATTATATTTATATAGAATAAAGACAAGCACTTTGGCAGATACGTTTAGTAGTCAATTTTTAAAATATATTTATTATTTTTTGATTTAGTTTCGTATTCAAATTTCATCAAATCATTACATTATTCTTAGAAATTTCTCTTAAATTTCGTAATGAATAGCTTCGACATGCTCAACATGAAAAAACCCGGATTTTTTATTCATTTTTTATTCTACATACCACTTTCATTTAGAATTGAATAGTTTGATTTAAAATTCAATTTTTAAACTTTTAACTCATGGAAGAGTTAACAAGTTTTACAAATAATAAGTTTTTCTTTAAAATTTTGTTTTTAGTTCAATTTTCTAAATCTTTAAAAAAAAGTTTTTGGATTATTATAAACTCTCTTTTTTCATTTTACAATCAGAAGTTAGGATTTAAAACAGACTTTGTTGGTCCAAGATTTAGTAAAGGTTCTTTAAAACATTTTACTACATGCATCATCTCTTAACGTTTAGATTATTACCACTTCTGAATGAACTTAAGGGAAATGTTTTTCTAAGATTTTAGGCATACTTAAAATAGTATACAGTTGAATATTCATAAAATAACTTTTCAAAAAACAAAGTTAGAAATATCAAAATTTGTATTTGATAATTCATACACTGAACTCTGACTTATTTACCTCGAATTGCTAACAGCAAAAATTAGCAATCAAAGAACCCAAATTAGTAGTACTTTTATAGAGAAAACATATTTGCTTCCCCATCATTTCCAAGTTTAAAGACATTTATGACATATATAATATATATATATATTACAGTATACACTATACACGTTTTAAATAAAGTACGGTGAGTATTTTAGGTTGGAAACTTTTAAATGGACAGAAGGAGTTAAGCTCAACCTCTACTCGTGAGAATTAACCGCTCATATCAGAAGTATAAATATCATTCTGTTAAGCTTTTTATATTGTGAAAAATACCTGAGACCCTATTTTCCCCCCATGATTAGATAGTTTGGTAGTCCAGAGAAAGAAGAATTTTCCAGGTATTGGATGTACTGCACATACTACCAGTTCCATTCCAACCTGAAGATTAATATAATTTCATTTCATATCATCTTAGAGTTTATTCTCAGAAACTTCTTATCACATCTGTCTTTAAAGTTTTAATTTAATTTCAAGCTTTATATTATTTTACTATATCAAAGGAAGCACCAAAGAAAAAGTGTTAAATTCTTCCTATTTTTTTTTTACTTCAGTGGCTTAAAATATTTTCATAAAATTTAAGAATACTTAAGCACTTAAATTTGAAGAGAAAATTTTCAAACATGGTTTAGGATACAATATCAAAAATACGGTCTTAAAAGGAATTGAGTCTTTGGAACAAAATCAAATATTTAAACCTCAATATCTTTAGAACTCAAAGTTGTAAACCTTTGATTTTTCAAACTCAGATTATTTGATCTAACAGGATTCATAGTTTGAAATATCTAAGGTCTGCAACATTTGGTTCCAAAGATATAGTGATTAGAAAATCAGAGTTTGTGGCAAAGACTCAATTCCTTTGATGCAAGTTTTTTGGATCTCTGTGAGATAATACTGTGACTTCGTAAATTAATTGTCGAAGAAAAATATCTAGTGAATCCAGCTTTGCCTGTAAATACATCTTTCTTTAAAAAAGTTAGCCCACTTTATTTCATATTTTAATTTAATCTAAGAATATTCCCGTGTTTCTACCGAGTTCCGCAACTAAAAGTTGAGGCAAATCAGTCTATGGGTTCATGAGTTATGATCGGACATACAATCAAACAAATATAAGAGAATACTTCTCTCTATAACTGCTAGGTTTAGAACCCAGCTTGGTCTGAAAACTAAACTTTCTCAATAAGTCACCCCACTCAAATTAAAACCAAGCCAAGGACATTCCAGTGGTTCTACCAAGTTTCCCAATCAAAATTTGAGGCAAATCGGTCCGTGCGCTCAAGACATGTGATCACCCATACAAACAAACAAACAGACAAACAGAGAATACTACTTTATATTTATACTAGCTTAGGCACCTAGTGCTTCCCAGGTTACTAAAAGTTACTCCCGCCGTTTACCCGCACTTTCAAGATTTTACTGGGAAACTAAACTTTCGCTATTAAAGTCGACCCACTCAACTTAAAATCTCAAAACCGAGCTACATTCCCGTGGGTGTCCTGAGTTCCCCAATCCAAAATTGAGGCAAGTCGGTCCAGGGGTTGCTTAGTTATGATTGGAAAAACAAACAGATAGAAGGACAGACAACTTTTAAATTAATTTTCTTGTAAAATTCCATAAAGCCGCCTTTTTCTTATATACTTTAATAGGGATTATAGAAAACCCTATATATTTTTACTTTTCTACCTCCACTCACTTAATAATTAGAAAATTAATAAACACTCAACAAGTCTTTTATCCTAAATATTGTTAATGTTTAAGTTAATGGTGATAAAAAGGTAATATTAAAAAGTCGTCTATGTTTATGTCATATTGATTGCGTGTAATTAAAAATTACAGGTTATCTGAAATGATGTATAGTCGTCTACACTAGGACTTTACATTAAAACATTCGATAGGCATGCGTAGACATCTTTTGTGTTATGTCTTTAAAATGTCGCGTTTTCCATGTCAAACTAAAGTTAATTACACTTAAGATTAAACTATTATATGGTTTTGTATCATAAAAATGTAAATATGTAATCTGATAAATTTGCTCATACTTGGGCTGTAAATCAAAGCTAGAGGAGCAACGAAGTCACAAAATCGTACCAATAATGTCGCATAAATATGACCTTCTTCCTTGCCTGATTCAGCGTGTTTCACTAAGGCCTTGCAATGTTTACTTGACAAATCCCGTTTTCTTTTGTGTATGTAAAATTCGAGCTTAAGTAAACAAGCTCCTTTTTAAACTGTACATTTGATTGTGATTCTTTGTACATGAAAGTAAAATGGGATTGGATTACATATATGCTTTTCTGACACTATAATTGAGGGAACTCAGTACACAGAGCTGAAAACTTTAGAATGGTGGATATCAGGATAATTGCTTAATCCAAACTTTTTCTTAATCTCCGGATTAAATATGACTTGTTCTCCACATGAATTTAATCTCCAGAAAAGTCAACAGATCGGGATTAAGGATATCACATTCTAAAGTTTTCAGCTCAGAGCTGGGAACTTTAGAATGGTGGATATCGGGATTAATGCTTGATCCACTCTTTTTCTTAATCTCCAGATTAAATATTGCTTGTTTTCCTCATGAATTTAATCTCCAGAGCTGAAAACTTTAGAATGGATAAACTTTAATCCTGACTTCTTGATCTGAATATCGACTGTGGAAACTTTTCATTTTATTCCTTAATCCACTCTTTTTCTCTCCGTATAATATCCGTAAATTGTTTTCCCCAATGAGAGGGCAGGAATAGTTCGTTAACTATAAAGACCAATGACAGCCATGAAAATAAATTCTATCCAATGAGAGAACTCCGGAATTTCTTAAAAATAAATAATTTTTTTCGGCCATTGTGCAAACTTTTCAGACTTTCAGTGAAGAAAAATATGTAATAATACGTTTTTGATTCTTTTTTAACTAATTTTAATCAATGTTAATAAATAAATGGGTGAGAAAACTTTAATTAAAATTATGCAAGCGTCTTTTCAAGAATATTTCTTTTCTCTCATTGGTTGCCCACTTTTCTCTGATTGGTTGTTACAGTTTCTCAAATGATTAAATATTAATTTGAATTTTATCGTTTTTCATACAATTTTAAGATAATCTTGCAAGATTATGTTAATCTTGAGATTATCAAAAAGAGAGGATCAACATTAATCCAGATATCCACCATTCTAAAGTTCCCAGCTCAGAGCTGACAACTTTAGAATGGGATATCCTTAATCCTGATCGGATAATTAATCTGGAGATTAAAAATGAGAGGAGAACAAGCAATATTTAATCTCGAGATTAAGAAAAAGAGTGGATTAAGCCTTAATCCCGATATCCACTATTCTAAAGTTTTCAGCTCTGTTCATACTAAAAATACAATATTCTGACAGCGCAATTAATAGTGCATACATTACATTATATAACGACACGCTGGTTCAGCAAATAATTCAATTTTTATTTGAACATTTTACAACACACTTTCCCACAAAGGAGTTGAGTCTTTGCCACAAACTTATATTTTCTTCTCCCTATAACTTTGAAACCTGATGGCGTAAACCTTAGAAATTTCAAAGTTTGATTATTTGATCTACCAGAATTCATAGTTTGAAATGTCTAAGGTCTATAACGACTTAATGTTGAAAATAAAAAAGGAATTAGAAAATCAGAGATTGCGGCAAAGACTCATCTCCTTTCACTAAAGAATGAATGAGGAACTGGAACAAGGTTCATACGCAGTTTACTGTGACGTATTAAAACATCTCTTAGATTAACAATAACACGTTAGTTAAAAACAAAAACATAACTAATGTTGAGTACGCACTAAGAAAAAAAACATTTAAATCTTTTTTACATTTTCTTATTTCCCGAAACTTTTTTTTTACTTGGAAAATCTGAAAAATATCTTCACCTGCATTAGTCGTTGCCATGTCATAGCTATTCTCCAGTCATCAGCACAGTTGTCGATCATAAATAACTAAATCAAAAATATAAAATCATAAATATCTAGATATTAATGTTTAAAATAATTTTTCTCTTTGCGATCCTTTTATTAAGCTCAAGAACTGAAAATTAATTAAAGAACCAAAACCAATAAGGTTCCTAATTTTAAAAGAAATATTTTGAACATCATTGGAATTAGGTTCCTAATTTTAAAAGAAATATTTTGAACATCATTGGAATTCTGTTTATATGAAAATGTTAGCTCAGCATGAAACCATCTCTGATTATGTAGGGGGTGATTTATAATAATACACCTAATAGGAAAAAATCGCATCGACCTAAAATGACGTTTCTACCTTTCCTTTCGTGTCTATAGTTATGAATAGTTTAAAACTTTTAGAGTCATGATATCCTGAATTTTAAATGTCAGCCTAATAGTTTAGGATTTAAACAACTCAAGCTCTGAGAATTTTATTTCCTCTAAATTTTTACTTAAATTTTTCCATCAATAAAAATTAAATATTTATAAATTAACCTTTCATATTTCCTGGAAGATAAAAATAGGGAAGAGGAGAATGAAAGAGTACATAAATTAATGATGAAAAGACCCCCAACCCCCCACGCAACACAATCTTATATCTAAGTAATTATCCATCAGGATAGTACCGCATGTATACAAAAAATTTAAATATTGTCTTTTTGTCTATGTTTACTTTTTAGTTTCTTCTTCATTTGGCATATTAACAATAATCCTTTTAAACCTGTATCACAAAAGAAAACAGATATTTTTGTTTAATCAATTTCTCTTAAAAAAAAAAATTGTTTCTCTCAAATTCTGTGATACTATACTAAAGGGTTGTGGTTGTAATATGATCAGAATTAACCAAAACCAATTTTGGATTTTTTTTAACACCGACATCGCATAAATTGATAATTTTACTTATTAAAGATGAAGAAATAAAGTGAACTGCCCATCTTTCTCAAATAATTGTTTACAGATTAGCGCTACTTGTAAAGAGGGTTTCAAGGATCAATTTCACGAATCATTAATACCTGTATTTCCAAAGAATGATAAGCTAGGATAAGTCCAAGAAGGACAGCTGTGGACGCAGATATTAGAACTTTTAAGGCAGTTGAGTAGAAGTCCTCCTAATAAATAATGATATATGTATAAGCAAGCATGATAACTTGGTATGGTTTGTAACAGTACTGACCAAGCTTTAGATTTATAAAATTTTAATAGCATTTTGTATTTTTTAAATTTTACACAACAATTTCCATCCATTCACAACATTTCCCATCCATTCACAACAATTCCCATCATTTCAAACCAATTCCCAGACATTCACAACAATTTCCATTATTTCAAACCAATTCCCAGACATTCACAACAATTCCCATCCTTTCAAACCAATTCCCAGACATTCACAACAATTCGCATCCCTTTAAACCAATTCCCAGACATTCACAACAATTCCCATCATTTCAAACCAATTGCCAGACATTCACAACAATTCCCATCCTTTTTAACCAATACCCATTCATTCATAACAATTCCCATTATTTCAAACCAATTACCAGACAATCACAACAATTCCCATGCTTTTTAACCAATACCTAGCCATTCACAACGATTCCCAGCCTTTAAAAACAATTCCCAGCTATTCAAAACAATGCACATCATTTCTTACCAATTCCCAGCCATTCAAAACAATGCACATCATTTCTAACCAATTCCCAGCTATTAACAGCAAATCCAATCCATTCAAACAATTTCCAGACATTAACAACAATTTCCAGCCATTCACAAAAATGTCCATCCTTTCACAACAATTCCCAGCCATTCACAACAATTTCCAGCCATTAAGAACGATTCTCAGTCCTTCACAACAATTCATAGCTGTTTCCTTCACAGCAATTCCCAGCTGTTCACATGTATTCCAAACCTTGCTCAACAATTATCAGCCATTTAAAACAATCCCCTGTCATCTACAACAATTTTAAGCCAGTTACAACATTTCCCAGTCATAAACAAAACTTCCCAGCCATTTACTTTACAGTAATTCCCAGCTTTTCAAAACAATTCCCTCGCTATTTCATTTTATTCTAATGTTTAAAATCAGTCAGTTCTGTCAAAATGAAGATTAGATTTCTCTTTGAATAGAATTCTAGAAGCTGGAAGCTAGATTATTTGAATAGTCTCTAAAATAAGTGTGTGCTTTTTCATACAAAAACATCATTATTGCATGGTACACACTGTAAATTTTGTTCATTATTGCACGGTGCACATGTAAATTTTGTTCATTATTGCACGGTGCACACTGTAAATTTTGTTCATTATTAATTGAATATCTGTTACAATCAAATGTCTAAAAGTTAGATAGTGCCATCAAGAATGTTTATATATATATGGCTTTCTAGTCGACCTTCAAGAAATAAATTTCTTCAGCTTTGGTCTGATGATGGGAAACATGGCTGGATGGAAGCATTCCATTTATTTACTCTGGGGAATTGGCGAAAATAGCAGGAAATGAAAGCTATACAGTTTTCTTCATTGCTTCGTCAATACAGTTCTATTGCAGAAACCCACATTATATACTTGAAACCTTTCACAGAACAATCAAAAATCTATAAGTACAATAGAGACAAGAACAGTGAACTATAGTACAATTCAGAGCCCAGAATAGTCAACTATAGTACAACATAGCCCAGAATAGTGAACTTTAGTACAGCAGAGTTCAGACTAGTGAACTATAGTACAACAGAGCCCAGAACAGTGAACTATAGTACAACAGAGCCCAGAACAGTAAACTATAGTAAAACAGAGCTCAAAACGGTAAACTATAGTACAACAGAGCCCAGAACAGTACACTATAGTAAAACAGAGCTCAAAACAGTGAACTATAGTACAACAGAGCCCAGAACAGTAAACTATAGTAAAACAGAGCTCAAAACAGTGAACTATAGTACAACAGAGCCCAGAACAGTAAACTATAGTAAAACAGAGCTCAAAACGGTGAACTATAGTACAACAGAGATCAGAAAAGTGAACTATAGTACAACAGAGTTCAGAACAAAAATAGCACGAGAAACTTTTTACTGTAAAGTGAAAATCTATGCTATATTTTCGTGATGCAAATAATGGCTATGATTCATTTAATTTGATATTTGACATGCAATTTGACATTTGACTTGCAATTTGTGCCCGGAATTTTAGTACTCTGCTTGTCTATCTGGGTTTTTGTTTTTTTGTATGTCTGTTTGTATGCAATAAACGTCAAAATGAAATGGCCAAGCCGATCCGGGCCTAATTTTTGTGGGACCTCACATAAACCCAAGGAAGGTTTATGGACCCTTAGAAGTGAAAAAATTTTAGATTTTCGTAGAATTTTAAAAATCCACGAAAAATATTGTAAATCAGCAAAAATATTTATCGATGAGAAAATGCTACAAGATTGAACAATAATCAAAAGATGAAGAAAAAGATGGGCGCGAAGTGCCCTGGTAGCCTTGTATAAAACATCATAGTCTAGAACAAGGAACGTTAGTACAAAAGAGCTCTTACTAATGAATTACAGTGCAACAGAGTTCAAAACAGGGAACTAAAGTATAAAAGAGCTCATAACAGTGATCTTAAGCACAACAAAGCTAAGAATAGTGTACAAAAGTACAACAGGTTTCAAAACTACTGTACAGTATTGTATAGTACAAAAGAGCTATAGCACAGTAATCAATTGTACAACAGAGCCCAGCACAGTAAATTAAAGTACAACAGAGTTTAGAGCATTGAACTATAGTACAACAGAGCCCAGAACAGTGAACTTTAGTACAACAGAGCCCAGAACAGTGAACTATAGTACAACAGAGTTCAGAGCAGCCAACCAAAGTACAACAGAGTTCAGAGCAGCCAACCAAAGTACAACAGAGTTCAAAGCAGCCAACCAAAGTAGAACAGAGCACAAAGCAGCCAACCAAAGTATAACAAAGCACAGAACAGTGACTATAGAACAACAGAGTTCAGAGCGGTAAACCAATGTACGGCAGAGCTCATAACTGTGAACTAAAGTATAACAATTTACCTTCCCATAAACACCGGCTGAGGATAATTCGTTTTCTATCACCATAGTTACAATTCCAAACATTCCCATCACTAGAGCATAGTCGCTGATTCGCTTACGTTTCTCAAATAACGTTTTCCGTCTTCCAAGGCGATGTGACAATCTAAAAATAAAAATTATAAAAAATACGGATACAAATGATAAACAAAAAAAATGAATAAACAGTATTAAAATGAGTGCAAGGAACAAGCTTGTATTTTCTGACTCAGGAGGAAATATAGAATATTAATCTCTTATTTTCAGTATAGCTACTCTGCCTTAGGAGATATTTTTCATGATAATTTACATTTTCTCCGGCGATTTTTTTTGTCAAATCTTGTGCCATGCTATTTTGTTAATTTCATGCATTTTTTCTCTAAAACAAGAAAATAGGAATTCATATTTTACTATAATTGAAATAAAGGCCAAGGAAACCATACAAAACTGATTCTATGGAAAATTTCAAGATTTTAATTGCAAGCAGTTTCTATCTTTGCTTGATAATCTCAGTTCCTTTTATTTCTCACGATCAGAAAATCGTCTTAAACCATCGTAGATCATTTTCGATATTCTAAGTCGTCTGGATCAATTTGATAATCTTATTTCGTTAGAATAATAAGAAACGTTTCCTTAGAGCAGTTGTTTCCCATAATGGATCAATTCTTCAAGATAAATATACCATTACCAAGGAAATGGTTTAGGATAAAATGAGGAATTGAGGGGGTTATATCCGGCGTAGACGACACTCAACCATCTTTATTCTGTATTGATTTCCGTGTATGGTAAAGGAGGAGAAGAACGTGCTCGGAGGGAAGAGGGAAGGGAAGATGAGGAAAAGAAATAATGGAGGGAGAAGAAGACGAATAAGTAGAAGACACTTTAGGCATGAAATGGGAAAATGTGGGTATCCAGAGAAGAAGGGGGAGGATATCAAGAAGAGAAGGATAAGGTTTCCTAAAGGAGAAGGATAATTGTATCTAGAGGAGAAGAATGAGGATATTTAGAGGAGAAGGGTGAGGATACCTAGAGGAGAAGGATAAGGGTATCTGGAGGAGAAGAATGAGGATATCTAGAGAAGAAGGATGAGGGTATCTAGAGGAGAAGGATGAGGATATCTAGAGGAGAATGGTAAGGATATCTAGGAAAGAAGAGTGAGGATATCTAGAGGAGAAAGGTGAGGATATCTAGAGGAGAAGGGTGAGGTTATCTAGTGGAGAATGATGAGGAGAAGGTGAGGATATTTGGAGGAGAATGATAAGGGTATCTAGAGGAGAAGAATGATGATATCTAGAAGAGAAGGGTGAAGGCATCTAGGGGAGAAGTGTGAGGATATCCAGTAGGAAGGGTGAGGATATCTAGAGGAGAAGGGTGAGGGCATCTAGAGGAGAAGGGTGATATGTATCTAGAGGAGTAGGGGGAGAGTATTTAGAGGAGAAGGGTGAGAGTATCTAGAGGAGAAGGGTGATATGTATCTAGAGGCGAAGGGTGAGGGTATCTAAAGGAGTAGGGGGAGAGTATTTAGAGGAGAAGGGTGATATGTATCTAGAGGAGAAGGGTGAGGGTATTTAGAGGAGAAGGGGGAGAGTATTTAGAGGAGTAGGGGGAGAGTATCTAGAGGAGAAGGGGATAGTATCTAGAGGAGAAGGGTAATATGCATCTAGAGGAGTAGGGGAGAGTATTTAAAGGAGAAGGGGGAGAGTATTTAGAGGAGAAGGATGAGAGAACCTATAAAGGAGAAGGGTGAAGGAAGCTAGAGGAGGAGTTTAAGGGTATATTATCATAGAAAAAGAGGAGGTAGTGTCTAACGAATTGGAGGGGGAAAAGGTTTGCTAAATGCGTTTATGGGTAAAGCTTGGAGAGGAACTAAATATATTTTTAATAAATGTTAGGAAGAACGATTTTTAAGAAGAGGAATTGGAAGAAATGGAAAAGACTGTGCAGGAATTGTAAGAAGTAGACTTTCTTATTTCTTCCTGAAATAATGTGCGAACAACGCTTCCTTTCAAGTTTTGAGTCACACAACTTCTGAATTCTAAAAGTGTTATGCATTACTTGAGAACCTTCTATTTTTAGAAGGAAACTGTAAAATGGCATCCTTATAGATGTTTGTTTGTGATTTTACATCGGTCATTGCTGCTTTAATTAACTGATGTTTAGGATTGTAATCATCGGAGAAGTTTACTTATTTCAAAGTTGTAAGCCACGAAATATTTACTCCAACAGAAGATCCATATGCCTGAACGAATCAATTATTGTTCGTTCAAAAATAGTCTTTTAGTTCTTTTATCAGAGTAAACATTTTTTATTGTGATAAGCTCATATTTTTGGGACATAAATTTTTTACACAGGTAAAATCTTCAGATTTTTTTTTAAATGGAGAGGAAAATTTTTTTTTTCTCTGACGCTTATATTGTAATTTATTTTGAAACAATTCTTCGCTGTAAACCATTATTTAAATTAAATGATTTCCTATCTTTTTTCTGATATCTGATAACTCAGTTAAAGTTTTAAATGATAAACAGAAATAGTGAAGTTGGATTTTAATCAAATAAGTTGTGAGGATCAGAGGATAATGAAATCTATATCTTTGCGCTGTACCATAACCTAGTATTTTATTATTCATAGTGTATAATGGGAATACGGGTTGCTCTTTATTTAGCTAAATTGGCCTGTTTTGATTAACTCTAATCATGAAATATGAGACTCAGTTTAAACATTTTTTGGTCAAATACACGAGTTTAAATTGTATGTCATAAAAACATAACTATAAGCATGAAAATCTGGTCATACGAGAAATATACTCAAGACAAGGCACTTTATTCCCCTAATTTTGTGATTTCTTTAATATGGCCTGTACCTTAAAAGCTGAGAGAAATATAAAGACTTTTGCTCCAATTTTATTTGATTAAATATCCCCAAAATTAACTATAAGACGCCAAAATTGTAGAACCTATTTTGGAAGTAAATATTCCAATTTCATGTTTATTGAGACACCTGTACATACTGTAGGTAGACTAGGTAAAAAAAATAATCATAAACATATCCGACCCTAACTTGTAGGTCAGTTCTGGTAATTACTCTTACTTATACGATTATAATAAAATCCTGAAATGTTTATTTGAATTTGTTTTGATTAAAAAGGGAAAGACTTGCCCGCTATTTTCTCCTGCTTTTTCATCTTTGTTCATTTCGTCGTTGAATTTAGGGTACTCTGAGTGTACACCTACAAGTGCTATACCAGCCTCCCCATCATCCTAAATAGTGAATACATATTTGTTATTCAAACATTACCGACCCATCATTTTGAAAAGTTACTAAGAACTTGTCATGAATCCCATGGTAAATCTAATCGTTGCAAATAATAAAGAAGCATTTTTTTCTAAATGGGAGTTATAATCATTTTAAATAGTTCAAAATAATGTAGCAGTGATAACCTGAAAACTCTGGAATAGGAAGTCGACTTGAAACTCCAGTTCTTACTTTTAATAGAAAATTAGCATGATTCACAGCAATTGTAAAGTGTAAATAGACACATTTTGCTAAATTAGTAATTTAATACGTGTCTAGTAAAACTATTTGCTTTGTAACAACATCAAATGCACTTCAGTAGTGCTTAAATTTCGTCTTACTATTCTACAGTTTTCTGGATATCACTGTAAAAAAAATTATTTTGCGAGTATAGAGTAATAGTAAAAAAGATCAATATATTTGTCAAAATAATGAATAAACTACAATTTCAAATCATAAAAATGCACTTACAGAGAATTGAATTTTGATAAACCTTTTCTAACTGTAGTCAACAAGTTTTGTCAGATTTAAGACTCAAACACGTGTACATATTCTTTATCAAACTTTCGCGAAAGAGAAAAATATTCAAAGATTTTAAAGTTAAAATTAGGATTTTAAAAATCTATCGAAAAAATATCCCAATGTATGGCGTGGCCAGTGCAGTGTTAACAGGCAGTATCTTTGATATTACAGTCTACAGTCAAACCAAGAAAGTTTTTGGTTCTAGATAACTTTTACAAATTCATATCTAATTTATTCTTATTCAGACAAAGCTTTTAAGTGTAACTTACAGTTGTGAATCTTTACATGCAGGGTCACTTGAAATTACGCTTAGAGTCTCATTAAAATACGATACTACAGTTTTAGCAATGTTGCCAAATCTGATACGATACAGTTTTAGCAATGTTGCCAAATCTGATACAATACAGTTTTAGCAATGTTGTCAAATCTGATACGATACAGTTTTAGCAATGTTGCCAAATCTGATACGATACAGTTTTAGCAATGTTGTCAAGTCTGATACGATACAGTTTTAGCAATGTTGCCAAATCCGATACGATACAGTTTTAGCAATGTTGTCAAATCTGATACGATACAGTTTTAGCAACGTTGTCAAATCTGATACGATACAGTTTTAGCAACGTTGCCAAATCTGATACGATACAGTTTTAGCAATGTTGTCAAATCTGATACGATACAGTTTTAGTAACGTTGTCAAATCTGATACGATACAGTTTTAGCAACGTTGTCAAATCTGATACGATACAGTTTTAGCAATGTTGTCAAATCTGATACGATACAGTTTTAGCAATGTTGCCAAATCTGATACGATACAGTTTTAGTAACGTTGTCAAATCTGATACGATACAGTTCAAATCTGATACGATACAGTTTTAGCAATGTTGTCAAATCTGATACGATACAGTTTTAGCAATGTTGCCAAATGTGAAATCACAGTTCATTAACCATGGCCTTTTTAGATACTTTTTTCAGATGGGGGAGGTCGGTCATTGGAACCCCCAATCTCTAGTCCTTTTAGTTATCTTAGTTATTTTTTTTATTTTAGTTATTTTAGTTATTTTAGTTATTTTAATTATTTTAGTTATTTTAGTGCACAGCTATGAATAAGTTACAAAAATGTAGAAAGGACGCCAACAGTCTTAACACTTAAGCTATACGAGCCTAAAATATTAAAAAAGCCCTTGAAAAATGAAGATATAAATATATTTCAAAAAATATTTGAAAAAAGGCAAAATTTTAATTTAGTTTCTACATTCCCCAGGTCGTTAACCATTCTAACCATTCAGCATATCTGAATATTTTGACTTTCAGCCCAATTTCTAGATTGGGCGAGGAGGATGGCCCACCTGGCTATGAGGGGTGGGTGCATTTCGCGGGTTTGTTTATTCGGGAAACTTTTCAATATAATTTTTGATGCCAAACATAAACATTTTACATCGATAAAGAGTTTTCCTGAATTATGTTTTAAAATATTTATAATTATGGAGGGTGCCGGAGTAGAACTGTTCAATAAGTACAGAATTCATATTGTTGTATGGGGAATTTGCTCATTTTTATCTTCTTTCAGAAAAAAATGCAATTTTCTGATTTCCTCCACTCCTCTGTATTTAATGTTTAAGTTTATTGTAAAAGCATTGATAAATCTGAAGTAAATACTTCACATCTTTTCAGCCAATGATGAATGATGAAATATTTTATAGATGTTATCGTCATTTAGTCACTCAATGCACTCTAGGTATATAAGCAATATACATAAACACTGCGACAATTGTGACAAGCTGGGCTAAGTGATGATAAGGATGGTTACCGGAAGTAAAAAATGGGAGAATAGGAGGGCCGGGGGGGGGGAGATCTTGATGATAATACCTACAACTATAAAAATAAGTATTGTATCATTTTGGACTCACAAATGAAAATGTTGTACCGTACCAAATTTTACTTTACTGTTATGTGGATCTTAAAGGGACTGTAAAGGAAAAATTAAAGGGGGTATAGACTAAAACCTCAGGATCTCAGGAGTTGAACGATCCCTATAAGACATCTATCTGATGTTCCTGTCTCAAGAAATTGATATACAACTGTGTCAAATTTATACAAAAATCTATATATACGAAGTTTTGTATAAAAGTAGAAGGTTTAAACAGATCATATTCAGCAAATGCGCAAACAATCTGAAAACGATTATATCCCACAGAAACTTGAGAATCTCAGGTTTGCTCCCAATTGAGAGTGCAGTATATAGACGGAAATCACGTGACCAGTATACTGCACTGCCATTGGCTGAAGTTCTGGTGACGATATACGGACTATACGGACTATGTAATAATATTATTAATTAAATCTATTAAAAATGCAAAATAAAAAAAAAGATTGTAACAGGAGCAAACCTGAGTTTCTCAGGTTTCTGTGGGATATCGTCGTTTTAAGGTAGGTTTCGTATTTGTGGAATATGATCTACAACTTTTATACAAAATTGCATAAATATGAATTTTCGTATAAAGGAATTGAGTCTTTGACACAAACTCTGATTTTCTAATCCCAATATCTTTGGAACCCAATGTCGTAAACCTTTGATATTTCAAACTTATATTATTTTATCTAAAAAAAGTCATAGTTTGAAATGTCAAAGGTTTACGACGTTGGAATCCAAAGATATAGGGATTAGAAAATCAGAGTTTGTGGCAAAGACTCAATTCCTATGACACAGTTTTATATCAATTTCTCGAGACAAAAACAGATCGATAGGAATTTATTGACTTCAATGGATTTGCTCAAAAACTGTCTATTTATTCATCTCTTGATCGCTCGTTATTGTAATACTTAAGTCAGTAGAAACAGTTTTTTTTGTAAGAAAATATCTTTCCGACAAGCTAATCAGCCCATTAGTGTTAAAAAGACACCGTATTACATCTGTATGCCGATTCCACTAGCGCCTGATCCAATCAGGGTTCAGTCATGTGTTTTTGGTGTCTATTCTGAACCAATAGAAATAGTATAGCGGTAACATATATCTTTCTATCTATCTCATCATCCAATTAGAGATGAATCCATAAATCGGCGCTAAACAGTAAATGGAAATATTTACTTCTACTGAAACTGAAGTGGTATGTTTATAAATATATTTAGATATAGTCTAATTGGACAACTTTATTATTGGAAAAAACCTGAGAGAAATCTTAAACTGAACCGTTTAACGAAACCTACTACGTTTTTCTTATCAATAATTAATGTTACCCTTTTCTTTCTTCTAAAAGCAATTATTTTTTTTGGCAGAATCATGATTTTTTAAATCCTTGAGTATCTGGATAGAAGAATAGAAAATGTTTGCTTTTTTTGGACGTTTCGAAGTTTGATAATTTGATTTAGAACTCTTACAAAACTAGGAAGAGATTCCAATACAACAGATTGGGAAGGAATCCAATCTTCAATCCTTGTGAATTATGCAGGGGTGTCTCATTATAGTTATTGACCCTTTTCACTGTGCAAAACAAATTAAATATTTACTGGGTGTCATCTATAAATATTTAATTTGGGTTGCAGGATTGTAACAACTGATGAGATAACCTGGCTTGAATTTTACAATTCTTAAATATCATTTTTTTCAGTAGAACCCCCCTTGCTTTTTTTAACAATGTATCAAATCAAAAGTTTTTTTTTTAAAATTCAGAATTATAATTCTCCATTGTGGAATGGATAGGGTCTAAATAAGAATTATATAACTGTGAAGCAAACCTTGAATTGTCAATGTGAAAATTTACCTTTTTTGGCATACTTGATTTCAGGTCTGTAAAAGCTGCAGCAGTAATTGGTTTTTTCACCTGAACATTAAACATAATCATGAGTTATATTGAACATATTACTAATAGTTTCCCCACCCATATTTACAAGGAAGATACACCATGATAAACTCATAATATCTTGGTTTACTAAACATGTACTGCACACTTGTTTCTGGAATGAATATAACAAACCCCAACCTGAGCTCCTCTCAGTTTATTGCTGTTCCTTCCAGAACGGGCAGTGCCTTTTTCGTAAACATTAATATGGGCCTGTAATGTTTCTACTATAAACACCATGTTGTCAGTCTGTATTTTTCAGTATTCTGGCAAAACCATTTTAAAATTATAAATAGCTGGATAAACGGCTTATAAGTATTATGTGTTAACAAAGAGAATTAAAGGGTGCACTATCTGCCTCAGGGTTATTGTAAACGAGTTTCATACAAATCTTGAAAAGACGACATTGCTAGTTCCCTATCTGTTAGTTTAATTAATCTATGGGCCGGTCGGTCAAAATAAAAAAGTCTAAAAATCAATTAGAATCCAGCATTTGTTTTCTCTTATTATACTATTTTATTTTGGTATCCCTTAACATGAACAGTTTAGATCTATAAAGTGCTGTTTATAGGTTTAGTTTTTAAGAAATAATTGGTAACATTCTCATTAATACGTGAGAGCTTGAAACCGTTAGTTCAATTATCCTCCTCTTCTTTATTCTGAAGTTTTAGTATTAAAATCAGAGACGACATTCGTTCTTATCTGTTACCAGACAAGCAGTGAGCTTAAACTGCAATGTGGTTCCAATGTGGACCATTAAATATGATAATCTTATATTTAACCAAGACGACAATTGAAGCAACATGAAACTGGCATATACATTTCTGTGTAGTTTGTAAGATGATTCAACATGCACTTCTCATCAATTTTACAAATACGAAAACATTTTGAGAGTTTCAAAAGTATGAAAATATATAAATTTCTTTTTATTATATAATTAGTTTTAGTGCTTTTACGCAGTATTTTTACAGAAAAATACGGCTGCGACGACTTAAAAAACTTGACACATTTCTAGTTTTAAGCTTTTAGAATTGTGGAACAAACAAATCAAATTAAAATTTTTTAAAACGCTTCTATATAGATAGATAGATACAGGGTGTCCCAATAAACATGGGAACTCAGTGACGAATTCGATATCGTCTTTGTTATGAATTGGCATTGTAATACCTGATTTCAAAAGCCATAATAATATTATGTCTTCTAGAGTTTATTTATGAAAATGGTAAATGCCTGTAAAGATGTGTCTATTATGTCTCCGCAAGATGAACAGTGAATATACGGACAAGCTTTTATACTGTAATTTTCTTGTTTTACTAAGTACAACCGTATGCAGTCAAAACATAAACAAACAAATTTTAAACATAGCAGACGAAAATCTTACGGATCACAGCTTTCTCAGTAGGTATCACTATACTAAATCTAAGAATTATTTAAAAAGACGATATCGACTTCGTCACTGAATTCCCATGTTTATTGGGACACCCTGTAGATAAAGTATTTGACTTGATGTACACATTTTACAGACAGACTTATAATATACTGCAATCCTGCCCATTTTTGAAACGTGTTTTTTTGTTTACATTAAAAAACAAAAATTTTCAAATTGGCACATTTTTTGGAATCTTAACTCTTTTGGATATCGGTGATTGGAAATCTGATCTTAAGATGACTTATGCAATTCTGAAGGGTTTCCACAGCTTGTATATTATACTCTGAATTTTTAAATTTAATGTGTTCGAAAAAGCTGTGAAAACTTTAAAATATAATCTCGCGCTTTTTTAATACATAATTTCAATGTTTAATAATCAGTTAATTTTTTACTATACATTAAAATCATTAAAATGTAATAAAAAACTTACTTTTCACATATCTTAAATTTACTCACGAGTTCCACGAAAGAAATGTAAAACATAAAAAATACTTTAAAACAGACACTAGATGAAAGACATAAAAAAATATAGAAATATCGACAGAGATATAGACGTCACAACCTGTATTAGATCGATAGATACATATATTAAAGAGAGAGTGGGGGAAGGAATAAACCAAACTTTCTCATCGCTCTGAATTCTCTTAAACACTCTTGTATGTTCCAGCCCTTCTGCTTGAATTAACATTAGTTTAATAAATAATAATACAAAATGTCACTGAATTTGTTCCAAAAGGTTAAAAGAAATTATAAGTAGTATATGTGTGTACAGTGTACGTACACTATCATAATAGAGGATAAACAAATTCGAGTTATTGAGGCACATACAACATTTATTTGGATTACGGAAAACAACAAAATAAATTAATTTCTTTCTGAAGATGTGTCACAGTAAAACTTTAAATAAATGAATATATTAAGATAATAATTTAAATAATGATTTATTTCATATCACATTGTCCGGTTCCTTAAACCATAGTAAATTGTATTACCTGAGTTTTAAACCAATACATGAAACGGCAGGAAACCATGCAGGCTCCGCAAGCCCATCAAGCATTAAAAGAGCGCCCGCTCTTCCCACCCTGCCTGAAAAGCCCATAATATTAAAGTTATTCAATTTTGGTTTTTGATCTTGCATGTTATAGAAAATAACTCATTTTTTTATTTCTTCCTTTTGGTTAAAGAGTGAAAACTGGGAAGAGTAACAAGGCTGCAAAGGTGTACAAGCAATTTATATGATTTTACCATTTGTACATTAATTATGTTTTATTAAAACAGAATGTGTATGTAAAATGTAAGTTTGCTACATAGATGAATTAAATAATCCTTATTTCTATAAAAGAAGGTTAGATACATTTACAAAGGAATTAAGTCTTTGGCACAAACTCTGATTTTCTAATCCCTATATCTTTGGATTCCAACGTCGTAAACCTTTGACATTTCAAACTATGACTTTTGTTAGATCAAACAATATAAGTTGGAAATATCAAAGGTTTACGACATTGGGTTCCAAAGATAATGTGATTAGAAAATCAGAGTTTGTGTCAAAGACTCAATTCCTTTTAAAGAATAAAAACGAACATTGATATAAAATAGATTAATATTTTGATTAAGTTAAAAGACAATATTATCCAGTCCTAAAAGAGGTAAAAATGCTAAATTTAAAAAAAAACATCTAAAATAAAAAAATATTCGTTCAAAAGATCAGAACTTTTGTGATTTTTTTTTTCCCCGGGATCCGCTATTGAATTATTCGTATCTTGTGTTGTTCAAAGGATTAAACTAGCTTGTGGTCGTAATCCACAACAAGGACATCTAAAACTCCAGGATCAAGTACATTATAAGTTGTCACATTGGAAAACGAGCTTTACTTGCCAAAGTTTTGACCTCAGTTCGTTAATTATGAACACTTTCCCTTTATTAATAAATCCAAGGAGAATTGAATACAAGGAGGGGGCAATAGGGTTTCCGTACACTTTGCTGTGACGTTTTTGGACTGCTGGAGAACTAGTTTTTGCGTAACAACAATAACAAAGATTGTAAACAATAACACAAATGATAAACAGACATTTAGCGCATCTCTGGCGTTAGATGAAGATTCACCGTATACTAACTCATGTTTGTTTACATTATATCGGCTGACTTTATTATTGTTGTTACGCAAAAACTAGTTCTCCAGCAGTCAAAAAACGTCACAGCAAAGTGTACTGAAACCCTATTGCCCCCTCCTTGTATTCAATTCTCCTTGAATAAATCAATGAAATACGAAGAGTTAATAAAATCAGGAAAATTTTAATGTACCAATGTACGTATTATACAGTGTACACTGAAGGTAGATGGGATAGAGATTGTGTACGTATTATACAGTGTACACTGAAGGTAGATGGGATAGAGATTGTGCACGTATAGGTAGATGGGATAGAGATTGTGTACGTATTATACAGTGTACACTGAAGGTAGATGGGATAGAGATTGTGTACATATTTAATTGTTTTTTCAAAACAATAACAAATATTGTTAACAAGGGTCGAAACTTTAAGGTTAATGGCGGGAATACCAGTCTTGTTCACCGTCGGGCGAAAGCAAAGATAATATATATAATCTTTAATAAAATATAGTATCTTTGGGCGTAAGCCAGTTTCTTTAGGCGTCCAAATATGTGACGGTAAAATGTACACAAACCCTATACCGTTACCTTTAGTATAGTACTATACATACTTTGCTATCAGGAATTTGTCCAGGGGGGGCTTAAATTTGTTCTGTCCAGGGGGTGGGGGCTCAGTACCCGGGGTCCAAAACCATCCCGGAAATCGCTAATTCAGGGGGACTGTTCCCCCATAGCCCCCCCCCCCACCCTGAATATGCCTCTGTTTGATATGTATGGACAATTCAAACCTTTCCTGCAGTAACTTACTGAGTCGACAATTTAAAAAGTATAAAATTAAAGTATCTTTTTTGGAGTCCAGACATTTCTGAAGATTTTAATCATACTGGGTCTTAGGGCGGATACACCCTGTCTTAACTTTTAGGTTGAGGATGTATTTAAGCATATATATATATATATAACACTGCACACTGAATGCAGGATACAACATAATCTTGTTTCTAGGGGTTGGTTAATTTGATCATTGTTTTATGTGTGGTAGATAGTTAGATGATATAGGAATATTTCGCATAATATCTCTGCATCAACATCAGAATTATCAACCTTAGACACTTACAAACTAAACAGAAGCTGGAGAAGGTAAAATTAAATCTACATAATGTGTACGTCTTTGTGACCTCAAGTTTTGAGTGGGAGAAAAGTTCAAGCTTATCCAGTCACATATTTGAAATTCAAAACATGTTGTCCCTCTAACTAGCTCTTTATTATAAAATGTCAATCTTACACGTAATTTACTTTAGTTTAACGTGTATAGAGCCATACAAGAATATTTGAATTCACCCCAATAATTTACAATTTTTTCTTCAAATTCCTTCGAATTTTGAATCCAACTAATTGGATTCGTTTTTCCCTTTTTTCACCCAGTTGTAAAATTGAAAGTATGGTTTGCAGCTGTAATATTCAGGTCCTTAGGCTTTAATCCGGCCACTTTCTACACACAGAGTTAGATACTAGAAACCTGGGAGGTAAAGGCGTCAGTAAGTACAGGAGAAGGGGGGGGGGGTCATTTAGTGAAATGTGAACAAATAAAAAAATGTTTTAATGTTAATTTTTAAAATTTTAATGTCAAAGTCGCAATTCTGGTTTAAAGAAATTTCAACTTCAAACAATGAATATCGAAAGTGTAATAATCTGACATAATTCACAATTGTGAATTCCATATGATTTGATTAAACGGAACTTAATATAGACTCTTAAATTTTACAATTTGTTGGATACTATTATTTACATTTTCAATTCAACTGAATTTGTAATTTTGTTACGAAACTCATTTCGTATAAATAATACCAACTATCTTAGATCAAGATTTCGGAAGTCATTTAACATATTCTCAAAACTAGCTACAACCAAGTAAATTTTAGACCGTGTATTTTACATTATTATTTAAAACAATCAATTTACAGATAAACTCTAAATTCACGATGCCTCCGTTTACCTTGATCCGTTTTAAAATCTTTTAAGTTGAATCATAATAATATTTTTGCAAATTTTCCGCTTAAAATGCATGGTGAATTGTCAAAAATGTCAAGTCCTGACAGACACAAATATGAAATAACATTTAGCATTTACGTTTTTTAGGAACAGACAGACTTACAAACAAACAATTGAGATTTTCATAAATTGAATTATTTATTTAATTATTTATTTCCTGAATATCTAATATCTATACATTTTGTCAGTTTTTGCGTTTCCATAAAAAATCTCGTGATAAGTTCATATTTGATATTTTTTTTTCTCAGTAAACCCTTTCTTTTTTATACTAGGCTTGATAAATAATAATAATATTATTTATGCTTTCAACCTGATAATTATTAATCATATTAATAATTATTATTTGATTAATATATCCCTATATTCCTGATTGAGAATTCTATTGGCAAGGAGCTAGTTCTAGATAACTTCATTTGGCTTGATAATACTTATGCAAATTTTGTATAATATATATAAACCTATACACACACATATAGAAACAACTTAATTTCATTCTATGTTTTCTTAAAGGGACTGTAGCATAGTTTTATGTGATCCTCCTTCCAACCCATAGATAAACGATAATATCTTCCACATTATTGATCGGAAAAAAGATTTCCATTGCTTACAATCCCTTCGAGAATCTACCCTGATTAAGAAATGGGTTAAATGCTAAGAATTTTGGCTGTATATTAATTTTATAATCATCGTAAAATTAAATATTCATTGTATATTTTACCTCTCGCTTATACATACACCCTTACATACATGTTTCGAAAATTAAAATTTCTAAATTTACGTAAATGTTAATATGTATTGTACAATCAAATAATTACTAATTTAGTTCGACTTAGATCTTATCTATAATTTTCCATTTAAATAAATAAATATTGAAAGGTTTATAAAGTAGACCTATAGAAGACTCCTAAACCTTACAATGGATAAACTAATACTACATTAAACGATGTTACCTTTAATAGGCTATGAGTTTTTATTATTAACTAGCTGGAATACCTTGCGAGTGGTGTTGCCCAAGTTTTTGATATTATTCATAGTCATAGTTATTCCTACGCTTGGTTTTAATTTATGATTTTATGATTATGACACAGCAATCCTTTCTGGAATATGAACATTGCAACATTGCTCAACTTTTCGTTTTCACCCCCAGGGTACCCCTGGGTTCTCTTTCTTTCAAAAAAAGTAAATTTGGCACATCCGTTTGGTCAGCTATATCTAACAAATATATATATATATATATATATATATATATATATATATATATATATATAAATATGAGCAATAAGCTTTTTTATATAGACTATATTAGGAAAACAGCTTAGCCCGGAGTTTTCCCTACAAAAGTCAACCCTGCACTCAACTTAGAATTACTACTCAACTATGCAAACCGTGGTTCTACAGAGTTCCCCTATCAAAATTTGAGACAAATCGGTCAAGGGTTTATAAGTTATGATAAAACATCCGAACAAACAGACAGACAGAGATTACGACTTTATATACATCTAGATATAAGCAGCAACCATAAAGTACTGTACTTCTATACAAACTAAATACTAGAAATTCTCTAAAAGACGCTTAAAACTTCATAGACATAATTGAAACTGTAGACTATACTTAAAACCTGATCTCCATTAATATTACTTAAAACTATCTCCATAAACACTGAATTAAAACTCGATCACCATAAACATTCCTTGAAACTATATCTTAATCAACATTACTAAAAACTATATCTCCATTAACATTAATAGAAACTATATCTTCGCAAACACTACATTAAAACTTGATCTCCATAAACATTACTTGAAACTATATAAACTGAAACTATGAGAACTACAAGAAACTTGATTTTCATTAACACTACTTGAAACTTGATCTTTATGAACATTTTTTTAATCTTAATCGCCATTAACACTAATTAAAACTTGATCTTTGTGAACATTTCTTGAATCTTAATCTCCATTAACACTTATTAAAACTTGATATCCATAAACATTACTTAAAACTTGATCTTTATGAACATTACTTGTGCTTGACCTCAATAAATACTACATTAAAACTTGATCTCCATAAAAGCTACTTAAAACTAAATCTCCATTAAATTTACTGGAAACTAAATCTCCGTTAACATTACTTAAAACCTGATCTCCATATACATTACTTGAAACTATATCTCCATTAAAACTACATGAAACTTGATCTCAATCAACATAACTAGAAACTCCATAACTATTTGAAACTTGATCTCTATTAACACACTTAAAACTGTATCTTCATAAGCACTACTTGAAGCTTGATATCCATAAACAATATTTGAAACCTTATCTTCATAAGCACTACTTGAAGCTTGATATCCATAAACAATATTTGAAACCTTATCTTCATAAGCACTACTTGAAGCTTGATATCCATAAACAATATTTGAAACCTTATCTTCATAAGCACTACTTGAAGCTTGATATCCATAAACAATATTTGAAACCTGATCTTCAAAAACACTATTTGAAATTTGATATCCATAAACAATATTGGAAACCTGATCTTCAAAAACACTATTTGAAACTTGATATCCATAAACAATATTTGAAACCTGATCTTCAAAAACACTATTTGAAACTTGATATCCATAAACAATATTTGAAACCTGATCTTCAAAAACACTATTTGAAACTTGATCTTTATTACTCTATTTAAAACATTACTTGAAACTATATCTCCATAAACACTATTTGCAACTTGATCTCCATAAACACTGCCTGAAATTTGAAAGACACTCCTTAAAACTCTATAAACATATGAATCTTCAAGGATCTACAAGAACCATGAAAACATGTCTTGTAATAGGGATGATAGAAAATATTACAGGATCACCGTGTACCAAAACAAAATTTGTTTTTGTTTGACCAAATCCAATAAAGCAATCGATCAAATATGAGCTTATTGTACCATCGAGTTGATGATTGGTTTTAATATTCTCTCTATTTCTTGAATTAAGATGAAAAACCAACCTGTCAAATCATGTTTGCTTCATGGTAGAATTCAACTTAAAAGTTTGAAATACAGGAGCTAAAGAACATGTTTAAACTAATGTTATGGCTGGAGGACTTTTCCCTCTGTATGCTGTGGAGTACTGGAGGATAGAGCAGCGGCCTCCTCTTCCCCCCCTCCCTCTTCTACCCTACTCCCCCTACCCCTCTCTATACCCCTCCCACTCTCTCCTCCGCCCTCCAACCCATCAGCTGATAAACAATAATCAAATAGATTATTCTTACACATTTATAAATGTATTTTTAATGTTTTACATTTTTTAAGTTATTCATTCATAATCAATAATAAAAAATCAGCAGCAATGGTAGTTAAAATTTTAGAAAAGGGTTTTCTCCTCTTTTCGGTTCTCCGATTAAACTTGACATATCAAATATCCGCTTCTCTCTCTCTCTCTCTCTCTCTCTCTCTCTCTCTCTCTCTCTCTCTCTCTCTCTCTCTCTCTCTGCGCCAGATCCCTTTCAATCTCTTCAATCTCTGCGCCACAGTCGAACGAAACTTCTCGAATTAAAACTTCTCCTATTTATCCCTGATGATAACAATTTGTCAACTTATTCCAAAATTCAATGTTCTTTCAGATTTATCGGCTGTCAATTATCCTTCTTTCCAAAAAGATTTTATATTTATAACAAAAAAATCCTTAAATCAATTCTCAATTCTATTAGATTTGTTTCACTGAAGCTTGCCACTCAGATTTGAAATAGAAATTATATATTATCAAATTTCTTATCTATTAATCCTGCTTCTCTATCCTTCTCTATCCATGCTACTTCTCTATCCATCCCTCTCCTCTATCCATCCCTCTCCTCTATCCATCCCCCTCCTCTATCCATCCCTCTCCTCTATCTATCCTTCTTCTCTATCCCACCTTCTGATTCTTTATTCCTCATTCTCGTCTTTCCATACTTCTTCTCTTTCCATTATTTTTCGCTTTCCATCTTTCCCTTCTATCAATTCCTGTCCTCTATCCAACCTCTCCTCTATCAATCCTTCTACCCATCCTTCTACTCTATTTATCCTTCTTATCTATCAATCCTTCTCCTCTATTCATCCAACCTTCCATTCTTCAATCTTTTGTTTCACCTTGACAATTTGTTGCTATGATTGTTTTCGACACCCTATTATTATCGATCCTATTGTAAGTGTTTATATTCATCATGGATTATGTTTTTGACCTTTTAATATATTACGATTAAGGATGGAAAATCTTATATGAGGGTACCAGAGGAAGGGCTAGAAATACAAATATTTAAAGCTACATGTCGGCTTGAGTCCTCGAGCATATGTGCTTTTTCTGACCTTGGGTTATTAGATAGAAAAAGTTGTAAAAAGAGGAGGGCCGGACAATTCAGGTATTCAACCATACTCCGACTTTAAATGAAGAAACCTATGGACATGTAGGGGGGGGGGGGGGGTTGTTACCCCTACCAGCAGAGCAGGGGGATCTCAAGGATAACTTTATCTCACAATTAGGCAAATATTCACATTCCCGACCATTACCCCCCCCCGCCCCCCACCCCTCCTTATTCCACAGTAATTTTCTATGTTCCCAGGACATAAAGCATATTTAACTCGACGCATTTAACTAATTAAACATGTGTATTCAAATATTCAGATTAAGATATCAAGAGACCGTGCGTAATCAAAGCGTACAAATTAGCTATTAAGTAAATGTTGAATATTGATAAAAAAAGAAAGTTTAATGTCAAAGAATCTTGTGGGACAAAAACCTTGTAGCGAGTGATTGATGCCTCAGCCATTTTTCTTGTTATTTTCTTGTGTTTTTTAGAGACACTATGTACAAAGCTGTTAAAGACGACGACATCAAAACACTGGGACTTCTAAGTCTAGCTTAATAATGTCAGTATTGATTTAACCTTTTGTCTCCCTTGAAAAAAGAAATTTCACATAATACATATTAAGCCGAACCTGACTTTTGTAAATATTAGTCTTTCCACACTCTACACTATACACACTACACACTACACTCTACACTCTACACTCTACACTCTACACTCTACACTCTATAACACTCTACATTCTACACTCTACACTCTACACTCTACACTCTACACTCTACACTCTACACTCTACACTCTACACTCTACACTCTGCTCTCTGCACTCTACACTCTACACTCTACACTCTACACTCTACACTCTACACTCTACACTCTACACTCTACACTCTGCACTCTACACTCTCCGCTCTACACTCTGCACTTTACACTGTGAACTATACACTCTACACACTACATAAAAAATTCTACAAATACAATCTATAGTCTACACATGACACCTAATACTTAATATATTTTACTATGTATATCTACATTCTATTCTTAACACTCTATCATTCGTCCTCTCTCCAAGTTATCGTTGGTTCTAGATTGAGTACAATTAATATTTTATTGGATCAAATTAGAGCTGAATAGACGCCCAATGAGATCTAGCCGAACATGGCGTTCCGAGATACATAGGAAGTGATTGACGACATTTTAATCGTCTTCTATCTACTGTGGCATTTATTCTTGAATTTGATAAGACCAGATATAAACATTAAAAATCATATATCCCTAATCCCAAAATTTCCACAGTGTTATTTGCCTTCCAGAACGCTTAACATTTAGTGTATACAGTGTTAAAATTGGGATAAATTGTGAATGAAAAAATATATTTTTAAAGATTTGCAATTATTCTAGCGACAAACCTTTGCTTTGCCTCTCCCCCCTTTCTCACCGCTTCCATCAAAAGTATGTAGTAAATCTACTCGAACCTCTGTAAATACGTGCGTGTGATTCTAGAATATTAATGATTAAATCAACTGGGAAACTAATTTTAAAAATGATATTCCATATGACATGATGAATTACAGATTTAATGGAAAGTCATGTAAATAAATTTAATTCAGGATAATTAAATACTTTCAATAGATCTAAATAAAATCTCTTCTTTTATGTTTCAACTATAAGGGAGTGTTCGCGAAAAATGAAAGGGGGCTAACGTCGAATCGAATTCGATGGTGATCGCTCCTAATCTTACTTCTATTTGGTGCACCTTTAAATAGAAAATAGTTAAATTCAATTCGATGCATTTGTAAACAATTAATACTTATTATTTGATAATATTTTTATTATTTCACAATAAACGTTAAACGACGATTATATGACCGCTAGATGTCTCGCGATGCTTCAGGGGTTCCACATGTGAGAGACATATATCTTAGCGACCCAAAAAAATATCGTTTAAAGTACAGCGTATGTAAAAAAAATACAAAATATTATGAAATATTAACTATATATGAATGCATCGCATTAAATTCGATAATAACAGGTTATAATATATTAATTTTTGATCAGATTGAAATATTGCAACTTCTTAAATTTGTATGGATGCCACAGCCACGCTCTTCGGACTAAGTCGTGTTTAACCATTTTTTCCTTATAGGCGCAACAGATAGAAGTAAGATTAGTAGCAATCACCATTGGCGTTAGCAAATACCACCTTTTATTTTTCGCGAACACTACTTTTAAGCTAAAAGTTTCTCTCATCTTGAATCCCTAAAAAGAACTTAATGACATTTGGGTAATATTTTAGCCTTTTAGTCAGCCCAGACAACAAACGTTTTTTTTGTATTAATCATTTTGTAGATTTTCTATTGCATACAAACCTGTATTTGCTAACCCTGGAACACTGGAACTAAAGGTATATTGGAATATTTATTGTTTATAGCAATATTGCACTTACACTGCAATAAACTGATTAATTGATTAAATATATACACAGTCTGCAGTACATTAAGCGTTAAATCTTTTAAGGGTGGATAATTGATATTTCTTAAATAATAGATTGATAGATAGATAGATAGATTTCGGATTTCTTGTGACGATCGTTATTCTTGTATTATCAATTGTATTTCGATGTTTTTATCTAACCCCCTGGAACCCTGAAACATACCACTACGCACAGGAAAACTGGTATCCCGGAATATCGGAACCCTGGAATCTCGGAACAATTGACATTTAAGTTAGATTTAGTTTTCTAATAATGTATATCTATATATGACATGTTAACATAACCCAAGCTGCGGAAATCTTGAAAATATCATTAAGACATATTTCAAATCACAGTTCTAAGTCACGTTACATCAACGTCATACTTTTAAGACCAAATTATGTCAAAGACACTATCTAAGTCACAATTCTATGAAAAATTCTTACTTTGGAGACATGCTTATGTCTAAGACACTTTTTAAGTCACAATTATATCTAAGTCGCCATTCTACGTCGAAAAGTTCATAAAGAACTAATTAAGCGTTTTCACAGTATAACCGCACATTAAAGGAATATTTTAACATTTTTAAAACTTACACAGGCTCAAATTGTTTGCTCTAGCACTTTAATTTTTATCAGTATTACCTTGAAATTTCTGCATTTTTAATAAAGAGCACTTTTAAAGAATTTTGTATAAAAATAAATTTGTAAAAACATTTGTCATATCCTATTATTTGTCAAAAAACAAAAAATATATTTCTAAAATTTTCGAACCTTTTTTATTTGTTTAACCCCCATTCACTAACACTATCAAAGTATTTTTATTCAACTAGTCTTGAGCAGTTGCATTGTGCTATCAATCAAGCTAGGATGTAATGCAAGGAAAGTTATTTCAGAAGTGTACACATCTTTTGTACTGAAGTGTACTGTCTCTGGGAGCTAATGTAAACACAAGACGGATGTTAAAGCCAGGCATGGGATCCATCTTAGACATAAAAAAAATCAATGAAATATTCTGGTCATAGGAAACTATTATGTAAATTAGCAAAATTAGCTAAATTTAAAGCTTTTAACCTCCTCGGATACTAAACGAACACTGATGCATCTATTCTTGTTTACAAATTCCGCCCAAAGAGAACTGGTTTCAATTTGTACGCAGAGTATACACGACCGCAATTAACTTTCCTTGCATTACACCCTTGCTATCAATAAAATGTATATCCACCCCTGTACCATTGCTCTTTGTGAGGCTTTTTTCTAGGACCTCTCCCCTCCCAGGGCTATCAATATATTCAGGGTT